AACGTGAACAGTGTGTCAATAACACACTCAGATCATCTAAGTAACTTAACGTGAACAGTGTGTCAATAACACACTCAGATCATTAAGGTAACTAAACGTAAACAGTGTGTCAATAACACACATAGATCAACGTGAACAGCGTGTCAATAACACACTCAGATCATTAAGGTAACTTAACGGGAACAATGTGTCAATAACACACTTGGATCACATTATTACATTTCAAGGATGGAAGAAAGCTGTTTGAAATAAAAGTTGTTGATATCCTAAATATATTCGATACTTAAAACAACAAGAAAACACTGATCTGATTAATGTTTTATTTTAATTTCAACACAAATGTATCAATATGCGATACATGCGTTCCCTCCCATTAAAACAAACGCCTAGCACAACTAAATGCTAACAGTTTAACGGTTAACAGTAGAATCAGTAACAATATGTGATATATATGATATCTCTTCACCAATAACGACAAGCGATAAATCACCGAAAATGCGAGAAGTCATCAGCGAGGACAGTCTTCTTTGTTTAAAATGCAGGAAGATTGAAGCACAAAGTATGCAGCAAAATTGACGTACAAGACATATTTTTCGAAAATGATTTCAAAGGTGCAGGAAGAACAAAATGTGCTTTTTGTAAAAAAAGAAAAAAAAAGTAATGGCATGATGCAGGCAGTAGTAATGAAAAGTATATCCTTTCAAAAGTTGTTGGTAGTGATTGTACGATTTTGTTTTACATACAGCGTATGCTTTTTTAGAAATAATATAAATAACGTGAATTAAAAAAAATCGTTGCGTCTTTATCGAGAAACGCTTGCATTAATAGTCATGGCCTTAAATTCGTATGTTTACACCTGCATAATAATATATTCTTAGACCCAAGATTCCGATAGAGTTATCTGTATAAAAATACCTGAGGATGCGTCAGAATAGTACGTGATGGCACGAGCGCACTAGCGGATCACAGCTTTGGGGAAATAGGCATAGCAACCCGCCATAGCTCTTTTGTTTAAAATATCAACGTATGTGGCATGAATTAAAACGTCTCGTGTCAAATAAAACCTGGCAAGTTACATTGGTCGCAATGATCTAATCATATACTGAAAATCCAATTCAAGGAAATCCTTGCGGTTATGATAACGTTTGTGAAGCTTTAAATGTAGATGAAAACCCTGACTACCTCAATGTATTCATATGCAATTATCTTGCCACACCTTCAATATGGTAGTTGTAATTGTCTTGACTTCCTTCAACCGGAAAATGCAGTGTAGATGTCAAGAGAAAAAAAGAGACGTCCATATTAGTCTAGATTATTCAATGACGCAGTAGCCAAAGCCTGTCAGAAGTAAAACCGAACATAGATAAAGTAGAATAATATGAACAACTTAATTAACTGGTATCAAAATGAGCATAACAATTTGACACAAAAAAAACTTCATGTGGAAGAACAATAGAATCTTACATGGGTACGATCCGTGGACAGGGAAATCTCAACCCGCGGGTAAGAGTTTGGCTGTCTAGCACGAGGCTGGACAGTCAAACTCTTACCCAAGGCTTGATATTTCCCTGTCCACGGATCATACCCGTGTTTGATTAAACATGCCAGTGTCAATACTCCGGACCTTTATATGCTTGTATTCTATGACGCGCATGGATACAATTATGTTAATTCTTTAGGGATGATTAACCCTGAACATTAAATCAGAAAAGCACAACGTTAACAATAGTGTTATATGCAATAAAAGGTCAGAGGTCAAGTATGCAAAAGTGCGTCGTGACGTCTTAGTGCGTGTACATGTGGCGGTATTTCCCTCGGGAAAAGCATGTTGATCTTTTCACGGGTCAATTCCTGTCTTTTACGGGTAACTTTGGGAGTAAACACCACGTACACCACTCTTCCAGCAACAGATGTTGTGTGGAGATGGTAACAACATCCTTGACCCTGGCGAGAATGTACCGCGTTTAAATAGAACCCAGTAGTGGTTGTCAACCTTTGACACGCTTCATGGTTTCCAGTTGGACGATAACACCGATAAGATTGAAGAGGCTGAGGACTGCTAGACATATAATGGGGTAAATAATGCGACTCCTCCAGTAGGATCTTGCACATAACATCACCACCATCCCCTTCCCTGTACAACAGTAAAACATGGCAGTACATATTAGGTTCTATTTTTAATATCTGTTTATTTAGTTTTTCAAAACGTTAAGTACTACATAGTCATGAATATGAACGTGTAACTATATCGTCCATTATTCGCTCACACGTATCATGCTCTTACATACATAATGTACCTTGTTTATATACATAGATAATACACTTTTAAATTAAACATTGGTTCTAAAGATATTCGAATACCTACTGATATATCTTGTACTAGTCAATTTTTCTCCTCTTAATCAGCATTTGGTATTAATAATATCTGTTTGAAATTTAAAAAAACAATGTCCGTTGAATATATGTTAATTGTTACATTTAGGTTTGTTTTTTTCTCTCTCTCGTTTTGTATAAGTTAGTGTGAGGTTCAGTATTAGCAAAGACTCGTCATATAGTCGTTTATAAAACCTAACAATATCGATATAATTATCCTCACCAATATCACCACAGAAAGAAACAAGCGAGGTTTAGAGGCATAACCTTTTACAGTACATAGCACAGTGAAGGTAACCATGGGTCCGCAGTGAAAACGCTAATAAGCTTCTTTATATCAGTGTCATTACAGACATTCTGAAGTATATATTGATCTCGTAAATAAATCAACCGGCCTTGCTGCACTTTTTATCCGAACATGAGGATCAATACACCATAAACGTTATTTGTACATTTGTACCCACCTTTGCGAATAACGATTTCCTGTCGAAGTTTTTTCCTATGCTTCATATTCAAAAACGTAAGCTGCTCAGTGTTGTTGGATCCAACTTCAAAGAAGTAATTTTGATAACCCTGGTATCTATCTGCAGTTGTCTGAAAGGCAATTGTACATTCAAGATTTTGGTATCATTTCAAAGTCTCAACATACAAATAAAATTCTATACCTTGTGAATACAGGAAAAGTCTGTTATCTTTATCCCTCTCACGAAATCCTTTTTATTTTTATTATAGCCAAATAAGTACTGGACATGAAAGAACCGTACTTGTTAAACGGTAAAAATGGATAGATCAACAAAGAGACTGCATTTAGAAGAAAGTATTAGGATTTCTGTCTACACTGGTGAAGCTTTACTCTCATGTTAAACGTCACCCAACAAAAGTCTGATTCACTCAAATGTGCCTTTGAATGTCTAATGACATATAAGTTGTTACTTTTAGTATGACACTCTTGTTTTAAATCGTATTTGCTTTCAATGTCTATTTTGAAGACAAAAACGTCCCTATACTTAAAACCTGGTGATGATATTCACAGGTACTCGCGGTCTTTTGTATTATTTATAATTTCATTCCTGTATAGCTGTTATAATTAAGGTGTCTGTTTACTGGCGCCCATTGATACTACAAACGATAGAATGTAACTTGTATAATGATCTCCGTTCAGGCCTATTGCAGGAGGCTAGTAAAATCACAAATGATTTTTACAATATGCGTAAAGAGGAAAAGTTAGTTTTAATTCTAAGCAACCCTTACTTGGCGAGGTCCTGTGCCAAAACCTGTGTTAATATTCTCAATCGACGTCGCAACTTGATCTATAATTAAGCAGTAATGTATCTTTTAATGTCAATTATTTTTGTAGTTTTATATTGGCAAATTGTTTTTAATTCATAAGTATGTATATATATGAAATACTTTTACAGTCTAGAATGATAGGAGAAGAGTGAGTGTCTCGTAAGTCCAATATAGACTGGGTGTAAGGGTGGGAGAGTAGACATATTTTAGAGATTGTAATACTTGTCCCTTTTACATGTGACACTAGAATAAACTAATATAGACTGGATGTAAGGGAGGGTGAGTGTCTCGTAAGTATACTATAGACTGGATGTAAGGGCGGGGGAGTAGAAATATTTTAGAGATTGTAATCCTTGTACCTTTTACATGTGACACTATACTAAACTACTATAGACTGGATGTAAGGGTGGGTTAGTAGACATATTTTAGAGATTGTAATACGTGTACCTTTTACATGTGACACTATAATAAACTACTATAGACTGGATGTAAGGGTGGGTGAGTGTCTCGTAAGTCTACTATAGACTGGATGTAAGGGTGGGTGAGTGTCTCGTAAGACTACTATAGACTGGATGTAAGGGCGGGTGAGTGTCTCGTAAGTCTACTATAGACTTGATGTAAGGGTGGGTGAGTAGACATATTTTAGAGATTGTAATACTTGTACCTTTTACATGTGACACTATAATAAACTAATTTGAATTTGAATTTGAATCGTTACTTCTTCAGTTGACTACCAACAATGATAATGGCACAGGGCCAATCACTCCAGGTGAAATATAGATAGGAGGAGAAAGCGAAAGGTTCAAAGTCCTATTGCCTCGGCGTATCAGGGGCTACTCACTCAACACTATAAGCTAACTATACACAATACTACAAAACAAACGTATACTGACGAGGTAGCCTCCTAAGCAAAGAAAGAGGCCAAAAGGAAAAAAAATGTATTCTCAGCAATATATTTAGAGTAGGCCAGACAACTCTTGAGCGATTAAAGACAGGTCAAGACAGGCCAAATGTAAATATCTAGTGAACATTCTTGAGCGATTCAAGACAGTATAAATGTAGATATCTAGAGCAAAACCCTTGAGCGATTCAAGAGATGCATATAAAATACTCATAAGTAGTAAAGAACTTTTAAGCGATTTAAAAGCAGAGAGCTCTTGCCTTGAGCGATTCAAGAGAGGCAAACTGACCACCAGACTTAAGCGATTTAAGAGAGGCAAACTGACCACCAGTCTTAAGCGATGAGCAAGACGAAACTCCTGAGCGATTCAAGAGCCTAGAAGTCTTAAGAATAGACCGAAAAATTAAATGCTTTTTATAAAGCAAAAGCAGTAAAATAATCAACAGATAAATAAATAATATTACAGAAAAGTATTGGGGGGGGGGGGGGGGAATTCCCCAGGAATTAAAACCCTAGGGATAAAAGAGTGAGTAACCCAATGTTAACACAAGATACCATGTATATAATTATTATAAGCAACACGGTAAATTCAATGAAAACAGATACATCTCCTGATTATCACAAAAGAATACAAAAGATAGTAGAAGTAAAATATTCAAACAAGCACTAAACAATCCGTGAAGCTTATTAACAACAAAGCTCGAGAGCTGCTGGGATAGGTGGGTGGGTACGCGAAAAGCAAACACACCAACACCCGCTAGAAATCAATAATGAGGGGCACTGACAATACAACATACCCTCTAGAGGTTAATGCTGATTGGTTAACACTCTCCTAATTTGCTTTAAAACATAAACATGAAAAACCTAGATACAAGAATTACCACACGTAAACAAGGAGATGAACATGAGTAAAATTCATACCTATATATCTAAATGCTCCACTGTAAGAAAACAACTTATAATAGATATAAGCAAGGGAGCAATAAAAGTTGTATATCAACTATAATTTAACACACATGTCAAATTATCATGTTATACACAACAAAAACGATGAAACAACAGTTTAACTGTTTATTACAATTCGAGATATTTAAATGAGACAGATAGCAAGATAAAAAGAAAATACAAACTTATACTTTGGCGTATGGGACTACTCACTCAACACTATAAGCTAACTATATACAACACTACAAAACAAACGTGTACTGGCGAGGTAGCCTCCTAAGCAAAGAAAGAGGCTAAAGGAAAAATCAAGACAGGCCAAATGTAAATATCTAGTGAACATTCTTGAGCGATTCAAGACAGTATAAATGTAGATATCTAGAGCAAACCCTTGAGCGATTCAAGAGATGCATATAAAATACTCATAAGTAGTAAAGAACTTTTAAGCGATTTAAAAGCAGAGAGCTCTTGCACTTGAGCGATTCAAGAGAGGCAAACTGACCACCAGACTTAAGCGAGTTAAGAGCTGGCAAGACGAAACTCCTGAGCGATTCAAGAGCCTAGAAGGCTTAAAAAAAGACTGAAAATTTTGATTAAGGCAAAAGCAGTAAAATATCAACAGATAAATATATAATATTACAGAAAAGTATTGGGGGGATATTCCCCATGAACTAAAACCCAAATGGAACGAAACGAGAATTTGGAAACTGCTAGTGAGTGAGAGCCCCCAAACCTCTTCTACGACAACAGATTGATGACATTATCAGATAAGTGGTTAAGATCGACTCTCCTGTGACACCACATCGGTAAGATAGAACGACCCAAACACATGTCGTCTCTTCTGTAGAAACAGATCGGTAAGATTGAAAGATAGAAATTCAAGTTGGCATTTCTGAGGAATTAGATTCAGTAAGACGAATAAAAAAATGTTACCGCTTCTATAAAGCAACACAAAATAGAATATAGTTAAAGACAGCCGCTATTTTCTAGCTGATAATATGTAGTATGGTTGAAGTGCAATGATTGAAACCAAACGTCAAAATCTAGATCGACAACCACCGATGTTCTAGGAAGAAGTAAGAAAAGTCCAACCTTCCAGTGTCAGGCTAATCAATGTGCATAACAACTCCTTAAAAAATAGCTGCCGAACTTTCAGAACGAGTTCGTACTAGTGACTCATTACTACATACAGAATAGGAAGTAACTCATATTATAATATGATTAAGCTTTAGATACAAACACAAACAGAATACAGAGCATATATACATTGGTCAATACGATTTTAATGCAATGCCCACATTTTCTGTTTGGAATACAGTACAAAAATGTATGAATTAAAAAAAAGCTTTCAAGTTTGGGAATCGTGAAACACACCAGGGTCTACATATATACATATAGGGGGTAAATACACCACAACGACAACACATTAGGGCAAAATATACCGTAGCGTCAACACATTAGGGCAATATATACAAACAAATATACTACAGCGTCAACAAGGGCAATATATATTACAGCGTCAACATATTAGGGCAATATATACATTGTACCACAGCGTCAACATACAAAAACAAATATACCACAGCGTCAACACACAAGGGTAATATATACTACAGCGTCAACACACAAGGGCAATATATATTACAGCGTCAACATATTAGGGCAGTATATACATTGTACCACAGCGTCAACATACAAAAGCAAATGTACCACAGCGTCAACACATTAGAGCAATATATAACCACAACGACAACACATTAGGGCAATATATACAATGTACCACAGCGTCAACATACAAAAACAAATATACCACAGCGTCAACACACAAGGGTAATATATACTACAGCGTCAACACACAAGGGCAATATATACTGCAGCATCAACACACAAGAGCAATATATACCGCAGCGTCAACACATTAGGACAATATAAACTGCAGCGTCAACACATTAGGACAATATAAACCGCAGCGTCAACACATGAGGACAATATAAACCACAGCGTCAACGCATTAGGACAATATAAACTGCAGCGCCAACACATTAGGACAATATATACTGCAGCGTCAACCCATTACGGCAATATATACCACAATGTCAACCCATTACGGCAATATATACCACAATGTCAACCCATTACGGCAATATATACCACAATGTCAACCCATTACGGCAATATATACCACAATGTCAACCCATTACGGCAATATATACCACAGCGTCAACACATTACGGCAACATATACCGCAGTGTCAAGACATTAGGGCAATATATACGGCAGCGTCAACACATTACGGCAATATATACCGCAGCGTCAACACATTAGGACAATATATACTACAGCGTCAACACATTACGGCAATATATACCACAATGTCAACACATTACGGCAATATATACCGCAGCGTCAACACATTACGGCAATTTATACCGCAGCGTTAACACATTACGGCAATATATACCGCAGCGTCAACACATTAGGACCATATAAATCGCAACGTCAACACACAATGACAATATATACCGCAGCGTCAACACATTAGGACCATATAAATCGCAACGTCAACACACAATGACAATATATACCGCAGCGTCAACACATTACGGCAATATATACCACAACGACAACATATTAGGGCAATATATACCGCAGCGTCAACACATTACGGCAACATATACCGCAGTGTCAAGACATTAGGGCAATATATACTGCAGCGTCAACATATATGGGCAATATATACCACAACGTCAACACGTTAGGGCAATATATACCGCAGCGTCAACATATTAAGGCAATATATACCACAGCGTCAACACATTTCGGTAATATATACTGCAGCGTCAACGCATTAGGGCAATATATCCCGCAGCGTCAACACATTACGGCAACATATACCGCAGTGTCAAGACATTAGGGCAATATATACTGCAGCGTCAGCATATTAAGGCAATATATACCACAACGTCAACACATTACGGAAATATATACCGCAGCGTCAACACATTAGCACATTAGGGCAATACATACCGCAGCGTCAACACATTACGGCAATTTATACCGCAGCGTTAACACATTACGGCAATATATACCGCAGCGTAAACACATTAGGGCAATACATACCGCAGCGTCAACACATTACGGCAATAAATACCGCAGCGTCAACACATTACGGCAATATGTACGCAGCGTCAACACATTACGGCAATATATTCTCCAGCGTCAACCATTAGGGCAATATATACTGCAGCGTCAATATATTAAGGCAATATATACTGCAGCGTCAACACACAATGACAATATATACCGCAGCGTCAACACATTACAGCAATATATACCACAGCGTCAACACATTAGAGCAATATATACAACAGCGTCAACACATTAGGGCAATATAAACCACAGCGTCAACACATTAGGGCAATATATACTGCAGCGTCAGCATATTAAGGCAATATATACCACAACGTCAACACATTACGGCAATATATACCGCAGCACAACGACAACATATTAGGGCAATATATACCGCAGCGTCAACCCATTACGGCAACATATACCGCAGTGTCAAGACATTAGGGCAATATATACTGCAGCGTCAGCATATTAAGGCAATATATACCACAACGTCAACACATTACGGCAATATATACCGCAGTGTCAACACATTAGGGCAATTTATACCGCAGCGTCAACACACAATGACAATATAAACCGCAGCGTCAAGACATTAGGGCAATATATACTGCAGCGTCAGCATATTAAGGCAATATATACCACAACGTCAACACATTACGGAAATATATACCGCAGCGTCAACACATTAGGTCAATATATACCGCAGCGTCAACACATTACAGCAATATATACCACAGCGTCAACACATTAGAGCAATATATACAACAGCGTCAACACATTAGGGCAATATATACTGCAGCGTCAGCATATTAAGGCAATATATACCACAACGTCAACACATTACGGAAATATATACCGCAGCGTCAACACATTAGCACATTAGGGCAATACATACCGCAGCGTCAACACATTACGGCAATTTATACCGCAGCGTTAACACATTACGGCAATATATACCGCAGCGTAAACACATTAGGGCAATACATACCGCAGCGTCAACACATTAGGACAATATAAACCGCAGCGTCAACACACAAGAGCAATATATACCGCAGCGTCAACACATTATAGCAATATATACCGCAGCGTCAACACATTAGGGCAATATATACTGCAGCGTCAACATATTAAGGCAATATATACCACAGCGTCAACACATTACGGTAATATATACTGCAGCGTCAACGCATTAGGGCAATATATACCGCAGCGTCAACACATTAGGACAATATATACTACAGCGTTAACACATTAGGGCAATATATACCACAACGTCAACACATTACGGAAATATATACCGCAGCGTCAACACATTAGGGCAATATATACCGCAGCGTCAACACATTAGGGCAATATATTCCGCAGCGTCAACCATTAGGGCAATATATACTGCAGCGTCAACACATTACGGCAATATATACCGCAGCGTCAACACATTAGAGCAATATATACCACAGCGTCAACACATTAGAACAATATATACCACAGCGTCAACACATAAGCGCAATATATACCACAACGTCAACATATTAGGGCAATATATACCACAGCGTCAACACATAAGGGCAATGTATACATTGTACCACAGCGTCGAGACACAAGGGCAAAATATATCAAAGCGTCAACACACAAGGACAAAATATATCACAGCGTAAACGCACAGGGGCAAAGGCAGATCTCATAGTAAATACAGAAAGACAAAACCAGGAAATAGAAATAAAAATAATCGAACAGGAGGACATCAGGAAGTCTCACAAAAAAAACACGAAGGTGTTAACCAGTGTTCTGCAGTGTTTCCAGCATTGGATGTGGTACCCGTCACTACGTGTCCTGTCTTATCTATTATTTATAAACATACTCGGTTAAAGACTATACTAGATGATGTATGACTGAAATATCTCATTACAAGCCTTTACTCCAACAGGTTCAACATGACAAATAAATTCGACTGTGAGATGTTTCTAAGGCTGTGTGTTGGTATCTTACCTCTGCCACACACAGCATCCGCTTTAGCTTTGTCTTGTTTCTGGTGATGGTGTATATACCTATGATGTAATACATGAGCAGGACGCACAAAACGGCGGCGTTGGCAATGTTTATAACTGTGTTGTCACAGTAGCAGGCAATCTGTGAGAAGAAATATGTACCAATCTTCAGGAAGAACATATCATTTATGTATCAGTGATCAAAACGCAATATTAAACATTTTAGGGGATTCCCTTTAAGATTATTCGCACTAAAATGGTGCGCTTTAATGAATCAGTAAAAGTTTATTATTTCAAATCTGTCAATCTGAAATTTGGTTTGTTTATATCTTCTTAATCTAAATGAAAAGTCAAATTCAAGACTTACTGGGATGACACAGCAGGAATAGACGCACATGAAATACCAAATGATCAGGGAAAACACATCACCGATAAAGTTGCTTGCGCCGCCCACTGGAAGCAGTCGGAATACACGAGGTTCCTGATTGTAATTGGCTACCTTCAGGAATTCTGCATGTGTTACCAAGGTGTTGTGACCAATAAAGGGACTGTAATTATATAAAGAGTGAAAATGAGTTAACTGGCCATAGAATGAGACCAACGAACACTAAATATCTGTGTCATCAACAACGAACACCAAATATCTGTGTCATCAACAACGAACACCAAATATCTGTGTCACCAACAACGAACACTAAATACCTGTGTCACCAAAAACACCACCAATGAACACTTAATATCTGTGTCACCAACAACGAACACTAAATACCTGTGTCATCAACAACGAACACTAAATACCTGTGTCACCAAAAACACCAACAACGAACACTTAATATCTCTGTCACCAACAACGAACACTAAATATCTGTGACACCAACAACGAACACCAAATATCTGTGTCACCAACAACGAACCCCAAATATTTGTGTCACCAACAACGAACACTAAATATCTGTGTCTGTCACCAAAAACACCAACAACGAACACTTAATATCTCTGTCACCAACAACGAACACTAAATATGTATATCTGTGTCACCAACAACGAACATTAAACATCCGTGTCACCAACAACGAACACTAAATACCTCTGTCACCAACAACGAACACTAAATATCTGTGTCTGTCACCAAAAACACCAACAACGAACACTAAATACCTGTGTCACCAACAACGACCACTAAATACCTGTGTCACCAACAACGAATACTAAATATCTGTGTCACCAACAACGAACACTTAATATGTGTGTCACCAACAACGAACACTAAATATCTGTGTCACCAACAACACCAACAACGAACACTAAATACCAGTGTCACCACAACGACCACTGAATACCTGTGTCATCAACAACGAACACTAAATATCTGTGTCACCAACAACGACCACTAAATATCTGTGTCACCAACAACGAACACTAAATATCTGTGTCACCAACAACGAACACTAAATATCTGTGTCACCAACAACGAACACTAAATATCTGTGTCACCAACAACGAACACTAAATATCTGTGTCACCAACAACGAACACTAAATATCTGTGTCACCAACAACGAACACTAAATATCTGTGTCACCAACAACGAACACTAAATATCTGTGTCACCAACAACGAACACTAAATACCTGTGTCACCAACAACGAACACTAAATATCTGTGTCACCAACAACGAACACTAAATATCTGTGTCACCAACAACGAACACTAAATATCTGTGTCACCAACAACGAACACTAAATATCTGTGTCACCAACAACGAACACTAAATATCTGTGTCACCAACAACGAACACTAAATATCTGTGTCACCAACAACGAACACTAAATATCTGTGTCACCAACAACGAACACTAAATATCTGTGTCACCAACAACGAACACTAAATATCTGTGTCACCAACAACGAACACTAAATATCTGTGTCACCAACAACGAACACTAAATATCTGTGTCACCAACAACGAACACTAAATATCTGTGTCACCAACAACGAACACTAAATATCTGTGTCACCAACAACGAACACTAAATATCTGTGTCACCAACAACGAACACTAAATATCTGTGTCACCAACAACGAACACTAAATATCTGTGTCACCAACAACGAACACTAAATATCTGTGTCACCAACAACGAACACTAAATATCTGTGTCACCAACAACGAACACTAAATATCTGTGTCACCAACAACGAACACTAAATATCTGTGTCACCAACAACGAACACTAAATATCTGTGTCACCAACAACGAACACTAAATATCTGTGTCACCAACAACGAACACTAAATATCTGTGTCACCAACAACGAACACTAAATATCTGTGTCACCAACAACGAACACTAAATATCTGTGTCACCAACAACGAACACTAAATATCTGTGTCACCAACAACGAACACTAAATATCTGTGTCACCAACAACGAACACTAAATATCTGTGTCACCAACAACGAACACTAAATATCTGTGTCACCAACAACGAACACTAAATATCTGTGTCACCAACAACGAACACTAAATATCTGTGTCACCAACAACGAACACTAAATATCTGTGTCACCAACAACGAACACTAAATATCTGTGTCACCAACAACGAACACTAAATATCTGTGTCACCAACAACGAACACTAAATATCTGTGTCACCAACAACGAACACTAAATATCTGTGTCACCAACAACGAACACTAAATATCTGTGTCACCAACAACGAACACTAAATATCTGTGTCACCAACAACGAACACTAAATATCTGTGTCACCAACAACGAACACTAAATATCTGTGTCACCAACAACGAACACTAAATATCTGTGTCACCAACAACGAACACTAAATATCTGTGTCACCAACAACGAACACTAAATATCTGTGTCACCAACAACGAACACTAAATATCTGTGTCACCAACAACGAACACTAAATATCTGTGTCACCAACAACGAACACTAAATATCTGTGTCACCAACAACGAACACTAAATATCTGTGTCACCAACAACGAACACTAAATATCTGTGTCACCAACAACGAACACTAAATATCTGTGTCACCAACAACGAACACTAAATATCTGTGTCACCAACAACGAACACTAAATATCTGTGTCACCAACAACGAACACTAAATATCTGTGTCACCAACAACGAACACTAAATATCTGTGTCACCAACAACGAACACTAAATATCTGTGTCACCAACAACGAACACTAAATATCTGTGTCACCAACAACGAACACTAAATATCTGTGTCACCAACAACGAACACTAAATATCTGTGTCACCAACAACGAACACTAAATATCTGTGTCACCAACAACGAACACTAAATATCTGTGTCACCAACAACGAACACTAAATATCTGTGTCACCAACAACGAACACTAAATATCTGTGTCACCAACAACGAACACTAAATATCTGTGTCACCAACAACGAACACTAAATATCTGTGTCACCAACAACGAACACTAAATATCTGTGTCACAAACAACGAGCGCTAAACATCTGTATAACCAACAACGAACACTATATATCTGTGTCACCAACAACGAACACTAAATACCTGTGTCATCAACAACGACCACTAAATACCTGTGTCACCAACAACGACCACTAAATATCTGTGTCACCAACAACAACAACAACGAACACTAAATACCTGTGTCACCAACAACGAACACTAGATACCTGTGTCACCGACAACAAACACTAAATATCTTTGTCACCAACAACGAACACTTAACATCTGTGTCACCAACAACGAACACTAAATACCTGTGTCACCAACAACGAACACTAAATATCTGTGTCACCAACAACGAACACTGAATACCTGTGTCATCAACAACGACCACTAAATACCTGTGTCACCAACAACGAACACTAAATACCTGTGTCACCACAAACGACCACTATATATCTGAGTCACCAACAACGAACATTAAATATCTGTGTCACAAACAACACCAACAACGAACACTAAACATCTGTGTCACCCTTAACGAACACTAAATATGTGTGTCACCAACAACGAACACTAAATATCTGTGTCACCAACAACACCAACAACGAACACTAAACATCTGTGTCACCAACAACGAGCACTAAATATGTGTGTCCCCAACAACGAACACTAAATATCAGTGTCATCAACAATGAACATTATATATCTGTGTCACCAATAACGAACACTAAACATCTGTGTCACCAACAACACCAACAACGAACACTAAATACCTGTATCACCAACAACGAACATTAAATATCTGTGTCACCAACAACGAACACCAAATACCTGTGTCACCAATAACGAATACTAACTATCTGTGTCACCAACAACGAACACTAAATACCTGTGTCACCAACAACGAACATTATATATCTGAGTATCCAACAACGAACATTAAAAAATCTGTGTCACCACAACGAGCACTAAATATCTGTGTCACAAACAACGAACACTAAATATCTGTGTCACCAACAACGAACACTAAATATCTGTGTCACAAACAACGAACACTAAATACCTGTGTCACCAACAACATCAACAACGAACACTATATATCTGAGTCACCAACAACGAACACCAAATATCTGTGTCACCAACAACGAACACTTAACATCTGTGTCACCAACAACGAACACTAAATACCTGTGTCACCAACAACACCAACAACGAACACTATATATCTGAGTCACCAACAACGAACACCAAATATCTGTGTCACCAACAACGAACATTAAACATCTGTGTCACCACAACGAACACTAAATACCAGTGTCACCACAACGACCACTGAATACCAGTGTCACCAACAACGAACACCAAATACCTGTGTCACCAACAACATCAACAACGAACACTATATATCTGAGTCACCAACAACGAACATTAAACATCTGTGTCACCACAACGAACACTAAATACCAGTGTCACCACAACGACCACTAAATACCAGTGTCACCACAACGACCACTAAATACCTGTGTCACCAACAACATCAACAACGAACACTATATATCTGAGTCACCAACAACGAACACTAAACCCCTGTGTCACCAACAACGAACACTAAATACCAGTGTCACCAACAACGAACACCAAATACCTGTATCACCAACAACGAACACTAAATATCTGTGTCACCAACAACGAACACTAAATACCAGTGTCACCAACAACGAACACTAAATTCCAGTGTCACCAACAACGAACACTAAATACCTGTGTCATCAACAACGAACATCAAATATCTGTGTCACCAACAACGAACACTAAATATCTGTGTCACCAACAACAACAACAACGAACACTAAATACCTGTGTCACCAACAACGAACACACGTTTGTGTCACCAACATTAACACATGTTTATGTCACCAACAACGAACTCATTTTTGTGTCACTAGCAACAACACATGTTTGTGTCAGCAACAACAACACATGTCTGTGTCAGCAACAACAACACATGTTTGTGTCACCAACAACAACACATGTTTGTGTCAGCACCAGCAACACATGTTTGTGTCAGCAACAACAACACATGTTTGTGTCAGCACCAGCAACACATGTTTACGTCACCAACAACGAACACACGTTTGTGTCACCAACAACAACACATGATTTTGTCACCAACAACAACATATGTTTGTGTCACCAACAATGAACACAGGTCGACGTCACCAAAAACGAATAAACACCATGTGAAATATATACAGTGTCACAATTTGAAACAGAATAAAACGGTAACAAATTGAATAGAGGCAAATTGAATAGAGGCAATGATGACCAAGGCAATGATGACCAAGGCAATGATGACCAAGGCAATGATGACCAAGCAAACAACACAAACATGGTCTTTGGATACAGGCATTAAACTTCCGATAGAGAAAATCGATATAACAAACACATGATAAGTAACAAAAAAGGCGAGATATCTTTGTCAAAATCCACAGGCATAAGTTATCATTGTCAACATCCACAGGCATTAGTTATCATTGTCAACATCCACAGGTATATGATATCATTGTCAACATACACGGGCATAAGTTATCATTGTTAACATCCGCGGGCATAAGTTATCATTGTTAACATCCACAGGCATAAGTTATCATTATCAACATCCACAGGCATAAGTTATCATTGTCAACATCCACAGGCATAAGTTATCATTGTCAACATCCACAGGCATAAGCTATCATTATTAACATCCACGAGCATAAGTTATCATTGTTAACATCCACAGGCTTAAGTTATCATTGTCAACATCCACAGGCATAAGATATCATTGTTAACATCCACGGGCATAAGTTATCATTGTCAACATCCACAGACATAAGTTATCATTGTCAACATCCACAGGCATAAGTTATCATTGTCAACATCCACGGGCATAACATATCATTGTCAACTTCCACAGGCATAAGCTATCATTGTTAACATCCACTGGCATAAGTTATCATTGTTAACATCCACAGGCATAAGTTATCATTGTTAACATCCACGGGCAAAAGTTATCATTGTTAACATCCACAGGCATAAGCTATCATTGTTAACATCCACAGGCATAAGATATCATTGTCAACATCCTCAGGTATAAGTGATCATTGTCAACATCCACAGGCATAAGTTATCATTGTCAACATCCACGGGCATAACATATCATTGTCAACTTCCACAGGCATAAGTTATCATTGTTTACATCCACAGGTATAAGATATCATTATCAACATCCACGGGCATAAGATATCATTGTCAACATCCACAGGTATAAGTTATCATTGTCAACATCCACAGGCATAAGATATCATTGTTAACATCCACAGGTATAAGATATCATTATCAACATCCACGGGCATAACGTATCATTGTCAACATCCACAGGCATAAGTTATCATTGTTAACATCCACGGGTATATGATATCATTGTTAACATCCACGGGCATAACATATCATTGTCAACATCCACAGGCATAAGTTATCATCGTTAACATCCACAGGCATAAGTTATCATTGTCAATATCGACAGGTATATGATATCATTGTTAACATCCACAGACATAAGTTATCATTGTCAACATCCACAGACATAAGATATAATTGTCAACATCCACGGGCATAACATATCATTGTCAACTTCCACAGGCATAAGTTATCATTGTCAACATCCACAGGCATAAGATATCATTGTTAACATCCACAGGTATAAGATATCATTATCAACATCCCATAAGATATCATTGTTAACATCCACATCACAGGCATAAGATATCATTGTTAACATCCACATGCATAAGTTATTATGTTAACATCCACAGGCATAAGTTATCATTGTCAACATCCACAGGCATAAGATATCATTGTTAACATCCACATGCATAAGTTATTATGTTAACATCCACAGGCATAAGTTATCATTGTTAACATCCACGGGTATATGATATCATTGTTAACATCCACGGGCATAAGATATCATTGTTAACATACACAGGCATAAGATATCAGAAATCTAAAAGGGTAGAGAAGTCTATTGAGCTTGCTGTAACACAGGAAGAGGAGGTCAACAGTCGGACACAAAGTGTAATAATAGACATGTACCAGGCACTGACCGGTAGTTGTAGATCAGAGAATAATTACTGATGTACTTGTATACGCACCCTTCTCGGAAGCTGGCCAGAGAACCCTTGTCCCTTACTTCTAGTCTATGACTAGGACGTTCCTCGAGGTCGGTGTTAGTGGTATCCATTTGTCATTTCAGAGTACCTTAAAGTTGTTGATACTCTATCTTTGTTAGATTAAATCATGTCTGGTCATGCACATCACTGAAATATTATGAAAAAAATAACCCCGTTACATATTTATGAAGGTTAATTAAGTCGTATGCCGCTGCAAACAATGCGAAAATGCACCCGTAGACAAACCAGTCGGTTATAGACATATCATATATCTATATCTAGCAGACAGGTATGTCGCTTGTGATAGCTAAGGTACAACTATACAGCAGAAAATACTAACAGACATCTTTTCCTATATCTAAATGTATCAAGGACAAGGGTGTCCTACATATAGCTAGAAGACAGGTACCTCATATCGTTCTATATATATGTATAGTCAGGAAGCATATTTCTCACATACTCCGTTGTTGCTAGGGAAAAGATTAATAGAATCTTCCCTTACCTTGAGGGTGTGATAGAGAAATCTCCAACTCGAGGCTCGGCCGAGGGTATACAACCAAAGAATTCACCCCGAGGGTTAGAGATTTCTCTATCACACCCTCAAGGTAAGGGAAGATTCTAGAAAACCTTATAATACACACAAATGTATACGATATTCTGTCCGAGACATGCTAGAAAACCTTACAATACACACAAATGTATACGATATTCTGTCCGAGACATGCTAGAAAACCTTATAATACACACAAATGTATACGATATTCTGTCCGAAACATGCTAGAAATGCTGTCCGAGACATGTTAGAAAACCTTATAATACACACAAATGAATACGATATTCTGTCCGAGACATGCTAGAAAACCTTATAATACACCCAAATGTATACGATATTCTGTCCGAGACATGCTATAAAACCTTATAATACACACAAATGTATACGATATTCTGTCCGAAACATGCTAGAAATGCTGTCTGAGACATGTTAGAAAACCTTATAATACACACAAATGAATACGATATTCTGTGCGAGACATGCTAGAAAACCTTATAATACACACAAATTTATACGATTTTCTGTCCGAAACATGCTAGAAATGCTGTCCGAGACATGTTAGAAAACCTTATAATACACACAAATGTATACGATATTCTGTCAGAGACATGCTAGAAAACCTATAATACACACAAAAGTATACGATATTCTGTCCGAGACATGCTAGAAAACCTTATAATACACACATTTGCGAGCTATCTCCTGCTGATATATCAACATGGTTTTGACCAAGGAAATGTGTGTTTTCTTTATGATGCTGTTATGAATTTCATTGATATCCATTCGTCTCATCAAATGTTTTAAGAAATGTCAAATGTACACAGCTATTTCATTCTTATAACCACATAAGTCAAACTTCCTTTTTATCTTTTAAAAGACATTTCTTGTTAAATCATAGCTTAAATTAACTGTTTTAGTTTGTTTCAAGATGTTTCTTAATTATGATAGCTCAAATTAATAAAAAAAAATAAAAAAAAAATAAAAAAAAACAGCGTTACGAGACGTCTTAACCCAGTGCGTGTGTTACATAACTATATAACCTTACTTAGACGTCAGAGGAGTCATTCATAAAATTATTAACATAAAAAAGTAAGACAGACTATAAAGATGTTTCACTGGCGATACTAACTCAGCACCCACTCCGTCACCCATTGTGAAGTACAGTTTGCTTGTTATGTTTAAATAATGCTAGCTCCGCTTTTATTTGTTATATAGTCGGTTGTCTTCCGCATAGGCTTATGTTGCCTTGTTTAACCATGTACCGACTTTTAAATAACATTGACTTGACTTGTACATCTACTGCATATACACTCAGGCGGCGAGTCCAACGCCTCACGCTAAATACTGCTACCCGCTATCTGTCCAACGCCTCACACTAAATACTGCTACCCGCTATCTGTCCTACGCCTCACACTAAATACTGCTACCCGCTATCTGTCCAACGCCTCACACTAAATACTGCTACCCGCTATCTGTCCAACGCCTCACACTAAATACTGCTACCCGCTATCTGTCCAACGCCTCACACTAAATACTGCTACCCGCTATCTGTCCAACGCCTCACACTAAATACTGCTACCCGCTATCTGTCCAACGCCTCACACTAAATACTGCTACCCGCTATCTGTCCAACGCCTCACACTAAATACTGCTACCCGCTATCTGTCCAACGCCTCACACTAAATACTGCTACCCGCTATCTGTCCAACGCCTCACACTAAATACTGCTACCCGCTATCTGTCCAACGCCTCACACTAAATACTGCTACCCGCTATCTGTCCAACGCCTCACACTAAATACTGCTACCCGCTATCTGTCCAACGCCTCACACTAAATACTGCTACCCGCTATCTGTCCAACGCCTCACACTAAATACTGCTACCCGCTATCTGTCCAACGCCTCACACTAAATACTGCTACCCGCTATCTGTCCAACGCCTCACACTAAATACTGCTACCCGCTATCTGTCCAACGCCTCACACTAAATACTGCTACCCGCTATCTGTCCAACGCCTCACACTAAATACTGCTACCCGCTATCTGTCCAACGCCTCACACTAAATACTGCTACCCGCTATCTGTCCAACGCCTCACACTAAATACTGCTACCCGCTATCTGTCCAACGCCTCACACTAAATACTGCTACCCGCTATCTGTCCAACGCCTCACACTAAATACTGCTACCCGCTATCTGTCCAACGCCTCACACTAAATACTGCTACCCGCTATCTGTCCAACGCCTCACACTAAATACTGCTACCCGCTATCTGTCCAACGCCTCACACTAAATACTGCTACCCGCTATCTGTCCAACGCCTCACACTAAATACTGCTACCCGCTATCTGTCCAACGCCTCACACTAAATACTGCTACCCGCTATCTGTCCAACGCCTCACACTAAATACTGCTACCCGCTATCTGTCCAACGCCTCACACTAAATACTGCTACCCGCTATCTGTCCAACGCCTCACACTAAATACTGCTACCCGCTATCTGTCCAACGCCTCACACTAAATACTGCTACCCGCTATCTGTCCAACGCCTCACACTAAATACTGCTACCCGCTATCTGTCCAACGCCTCACACTAAATACTGCTACCCGCTATCTGTCCAACGCCTCACACTAAATACTGCTACCCGCTATCTGTCCAACGCCTCACACTAAATACTGCTACCCGCTATCTGTCCAACGCCTCACACTAAATACTGCTACCCGCTATCTGTCCAACGCCTCACACTAAATACTGCTACCCGCTATCTGTCCAACGCCTCACACTAAATACTGCTACCCGCTATCTGTCCAACGCCTCACACTAAATACTGCTACCCGCTATCTGTCCAACGCCTCACACTAAATACTGCTACCCGCTATCTGTCCAACGCCTCACACTAAATACTGCTACCCGCTATCTGTCCAACGCCTCACACTAAATACTGCTACCCGCTATCTGTCCAACGCCTCACACTAAATACTGCTACCCGCTATCTGTCCAACGCCTCACACTAAATACTGCTACCCGCTATCTGTCCAACGCCTCACACTAAATACTGCTACCCGCTATCTGTCCAACGCCTCACACTAAATACTGCTACCCGCTATCTGTCCAACGCCTCACACTAAATACTGCTACCCGCTATCTGTCCAACGCCTCACACTAAATACTGCTACCCGCTATCTGTCCAACGCCTCACACTAAATACTGCTACCCGCTATCTGTCCAACGCCTCACACTAAATACTGCTACCCGCTATCTGTCCAACGCCTCACACTAAATACTGCTACCCGCTATCTGTCCAACGCCTCACACTAAATACTGCTACCCGCTATCTGTCCAACGCCTCACACTAAATACTGCTACCCGCTATCTGTCCAACGCCTCACACTAAATACTGCTACCCGCTATCTGTCCAACGCCTCACACTAAATACTGCTACCCGCTATCTGTCCAACGCCTCACACTAAATACTGCTACCCGCTATCTGTCCAACGCCTCACACTAAATACTGCTACCCGCTATCTGTCCAACGCCTCACACTAAATACTACTACCCCCTATCTGTCCAATGCCTCACACTAAATACTGATACCCGCTATCTGTCCAACGCCTCACAATAAATACTGCTACCCGCTATCTGTCCAACGCCTCACACTAAATACTGCTACCCGCTATCTGTCCAACGCCTCACACTAAATACTGCTACCCGCTATCTGTCCAACGCCTCACACTAAATACTGCTACCCCGCTATCTGTCCAACGCCTCACACTAAATACTGCTACCCGCTATCTGATTATCGATGAGTCCAATGCCTCACACTAAATACTGCTACCCGCTTCTAGTATCTGATTATGCGTTTGATTACTACCCCGTAATAAATATTTCAAATCTTGACGCCCCACGTTTCACAAAATAATATGCGGATCCATAAAGTATATAATCTACTCTTCTGAAAGAGTAATGTATAACAACGATTCTGTGACGTGTTGTTATCTTATTTGAAAGTAAAACTTCTGGAGATGTTGTATGCTGTCCAAATAAAAATCGATTACAATAACTGGCTCTAGGTCGGTGGGCGATTCCTGGAGTATCCAAAAACACGCCCGTACAGTCCGAGGCCTAGGTCCCTAACTGATATTACAATAACTGGCTCTAGGTCGGTGGGCGATTTCTGGAGTATCCAAAAACACGCCCGTACAGTCCGAGGCCTAGGTCCCTAACTGATATTACAATAACTGGCTCTAGGTCGGTGGGCAATTTCTGTAGTATCCAAAAACACGCCCGTACAGTCCGAGGCCTAGGTCACTAACTGATATTACAATAACTGGCTCTAGGTCAGTGGGCGATTTCTGGAGTATCCAAAAACACGCCCGTACAGTCCGAGGCCTAGGTTCCTAACTGATATTACAAGCATAATCATGTCGTTAGTAAGTAAAGGTTATTGCATAGTTTTCGAGTAACAAGGGATTTATTACACCCGAGCGAGGCGAGGGTGTAATAAGTCCCGAGTGACGAGAAATCATGCAATAACTGGCTTACTGTATGCTGCCCAACTCGAACAAAACAGAAAAATGGAGTAAAAAATGTTCACCTGGACAATCTTTTTACCTACCCTACACTGCAGATAATTTACATGTACCTGTGTGGGTAATAATCACAACCAGGTAAGATTGTCTTTTTTCTCAATAGCCCAGTCTGAGTGTATCCTTCATAATGGATACAAGTGTTTTTGCATTACTATATCCAGCTCCAGTGTCAGGGAAGGTAAGGAGTGTCTGTTCAACAATTAGAACAAAATACGGGAAACAATGTTGAATTTCTGACTACATTTTCAATTTAATTTTCAGGATGTGGCAAAGGTACAGGATATTGAAACCATTTTCATACATACAATATAAGGGTTTAACAATCCCTAAGGAATTCCAGATCTTTCAATGAATGGTATATTTGAATGTGCAATTTTGTGTAAAGGAACAGCTCCTAAAGAATTTAAACTTTTCCAGGAAATGCGTTTCATCTCACGTGACAAGGAATTTTGTTTGTTTGTTTATCAATCATGAATAACCATTTTAAGCTTCTTTTTTTTCTTATTTTAAATGTGTCAACTAATTATATAAGTTTATCCTTTCCCCTGTATTGTTTTTCTGATTGATTATCTCCCCTTTCTTACAGCATTTGTGACCACAGTCCACTGGGCACACCCCCTTTCATGGTCATGTAATCATGATTGGCCTTGAAAGGGGTTATGTGTGCAGTGGACTGTGGTAGCAAGTTATTTATTGCCCACACTTTTCCATTGTGAGAGGTGGGAAGTATGCAGTAAGTACATCTACACAATAAAAGTAGAACAATTAGTTTGAGTGACATCTGTCATTCACAGGAATTGTCCTTTGAGACCGAGGCCGCGCTGTCCTTTGTCTGAGCTTGAATGCAGTGCCGATCTGGTAAGACCAGTTAATCCTGTTACGTTATAGAATTAAGCTAAAAGGTATATGAATTTATCTGACAACAATGCTCCAAACGAATTAAACATGTCGACTTCAAGGAAAAGCTTCGTAAATAGAACTTATCTAAATTGACACAGGTTAAGGAGAGTTAATGCTGCAAACGATTTACATAAAATAGTTCCAGCATATTAATATATCAGTTTATATTTATTTTATTCTGTAGGCTTTACAGCTTATTAGTTAAGCATAAAATGTATGTTACAAAGATTGCATAGTAATACATACAATCATATACTAGTAATACAAATGCCCACAACACACCCTAGTTTTATAATTTGTCACAATCATCATCATCATCATCATCATCATCATATCATCATCATCATCATCAAAATTTCCCCTTACAATAAACCAACATTGTTTTCAAAAACATTAGAGCATTTCCCATTAATTGAAACACAGGATTTGACTGATCTGTAAAAGCGACTTCATAACAGACTACATTTTCCCTCGAATACCAAGCCTAGTCAACTTGCGCCGTCGATAAAATCAAACGCTTTGCGAAAATCTACAAAACAGCAATACAATCTTTTCCTCGATGACAATGTCACTTGATAGAATAAATTCACTGAAAGGTTGTAGTTTAAAATACGCCAAATTACGAATTTAATGAGATATTAAATTAAAGTTCAAATTTAGCACTTTTATCATAAAATTCTTTATGATAAGTGCGTGCGAACAGTAGGATATGAAAGTGTGCCGGTCTTGTCCTAGTAAGCACAGGGTTATATTAGACGTTTGTAACGGGTATGTTACCGAATGTGGCCAGTGATATACAGTGTATACGAAGCCTTAACATTTCTTATAACTCTCCAAAACACGATACTGTAAACAAATGTCCCTGTGTGCACAATACTGTAATCTGAGGCTGTTTAATACAACGGACAGAGTTGTTCTTGTCTAAATTATCGTATGCGACTTACCGTAATCGGCACTCATGCAAAGCATATCTCCTTTGGTTGTTACATGTATAACATAAAACTTGTATAGTCGTTGATACAGATGGATGGGGCGTTCCTATGTAGTCTGTACATACAGGATTTGGACCGATAAGATTATCCATATACGGTTACTATAATGGGGTATACAGGGGGTCATATATCTGTTGGTAGTGCGGCTATGATGGGGTATACAGGGGGTGTATATATCTGTTGGTAGTGCGGCTATAATGGGGTATACAGGGGGTGAATATATCTGTTGGTAGTGCGGCTATGATAGGGTATCCAGGGGGTCATATATCTGTTGTTAGTTCTATGATGGGGTATACAGGGGATTGGGTATACAGGGGGTCATATATCTATGGGTAGTACTATGATGGGGTATACAGGGGGTCATATATCTGTTGTTAGTACTATGATGGGGTATACAGGGGGTCATATATCTGTGGGTAGTACTATGATGGGGTATACAGGGGGTGTATATATCTGTTGGTAGTGCAGCTATGATGGGGTATACAGGGGGTGTATATATCTGTTGGTAGTACTATGATGGGGTATACNACAGGGTGATAACGCCTTAGATGGTTACACATAGTCTTACAGGGTAATAACGCCTTAGATAATTACACCTAGTCTTACAGGGTTATAACGCCTTAGATGATTACACATGTCTTACAGGGTAATAACGCCTTAGATGATTACACCTAGTCTTACAGGGTAATAACGCCTTAGATGATTACACCTAGTCTTACAGGGTAATAACGCCTTAGATGATTACACCTAGTCTTACAGGGTAATAACGCCTTAGATGATTACACCTAGTCTTACAGGGTAATAACGCCTTAGATGATTACACCTAGTCTTACAGGGTAATAACGCCTTAGATGATTACACCTAGTCTTACAGGGTAATAACGCCTTAGATGATTACACCTAGTCTTACAGGGTAATCACGCCTTAGATGATTACACCTAGTCTTACGGGGTAATAACGCCTTAGATGATTACACTTGACATTTTGGATGTGTCACATGATTTAAGTGGTTTTCAAAAAAAAATGGTTTGATCACAGAATCCATGCTTGAGCAAGAGAACGGTTTCATGAACCCCCAGACTCAACCCCACTCCAATGAGCATCACTCCTTAACCACCCTCTTACACATGTATCCCCTCTTGATCAACATATGACATTTACGACCATGTACTGACCATATCCACTCCCCGACACACAGTCAACCTAATGACTTGCACCACCCACAGGGGCTAGCAACGATTTCTATGTGATAAGAATAAAAAATAGTGAGAAAAAATACGTAACTGTACATAACATAATCGTCGCTAGCCCCTGCGCAACACCCCACACAACTGACGTCGGTAAGCATTCTCCCCACCGTCATACCGTGCTCATCAACCTCTGATTGCAGTGATGTGGGCAGTACTGTAAACATGCATGCAACAATCCATAACACATGTAAAATGACATCCCTATCGTCAAAACATCAACAACACATATAGTCTCTCTCTCTAACAAAATAAATTAGCCATACCTGGCGGTGACACTGGTATATAGGATCCATGGAAGCGATACCTACCCGTATGTACAATGTGTACGCTATGTAACCATCGACCATGACAATTGCCTAAAATTAGACACCATATCACCATACACATACACACATGGATGTACTTGAAGCGCTGGCTGAAATTTAAGTGAGTGTCCTGTTAGTCATTTAGGTCAAAAGACAGTACACGTTTTACCCACAATGACTTCGACATAAAGACTGCGTGTAACGTTATCCTTAAATCATTGCCTGGGGTAGTTTGCTTTACTTACATGTAATTTATTTGGGACGCATGTAGACTAATCGGATTGTATGGTGACTTCTCGGTATGAAAACTTGGGCAGCCAAGGACGTAGTTGTAAACATTTGAGCTGCTAAACAACTTGCTGTTTTAAAAAGACTGGGAAACAATCTTACAAAGAAAGGGAAAATTACCATTTTAAGTCTTTTACTCTATCAAATTTTAACTATTGTCCACTTGCCTGGCACTTTTGTACATTGACAAATACTCGAAAAATGGAAAAAGTTCAGGAACGAGCACTTCGTTTTTATTGAAAATGATTGTTTCCCCAGTCATTGATATTCTTAGGAAACACAAACTTGTTTTTTTTACATGTAAAACGTATGAAAGATATGGTCTCTGAGGTTTTTAAAATTTTAAATGAAATTTCTCCATCAATTTTACAAAATCTTGTTGAGAGGAAAGAAGTGTTTTACAACCTGAGACAAGATAACCTGGTAAAGATTCCAAAGGTGAACACCTCCACATATGGTAAGAGATCTTTCCGATTTGCTGCTTCCCAGGTGTGGAACAGCCTACCAAATGAACTTCGATTAGCTGAAAACAATAAGTCGTTTCGTGGGCTGCTCCGCACCTGGAACAAAAATGTCTGCTCATGTACATGTGCTATCTGCACACACCATATAATGTGAGTTGTCCCCCTTTGGAATCTACCTTCATGTTTTATACTACAACTATTTAATTTCACTGCTGCTTGTGTTATTTAATTTAATATACTTCAGTAATATACTTATTATATAATTGATATTTATTTTAGATTTGAGCTCCATTATTTAAAAGATCATTACTTTTTTACAATATCATAATTATAGCTCTGTTTCTATTTATGACTTCATTGTCTCTTTTTAATTCACACTCTATTAGTGTATATCCTGTAAATTTTTACACTTTGCTACATTAGCATATATGTACATGTACATTACACTAGTATAGTGTCTTAACTTGTCTTTTGTAACACTTGTGTGACATTCAAGTGTGATAGCATATGCTCTACTGTATACTTTTAGCATATCTAATTTAAATTGTTGTCCTGTTTTTATATTTATTCATAGTACTGTGATCCTTGTTAAATTTTATATATGTTTTGTCGCAAGAATAGCACTACAGTGCAAATGTTATTATGTTACATGTATATGCGACGTTAAATAAAGCTTCTTGAATCTTAAATCTTGAGTTCAGCCAATGACGTCAAAACATCCGAACACGTGTACTTAACGTTAATAAGTTCAGCAAAGGACGTCAAAACAACCGAACACGAGTACTTAACGTTAATTAGTTCAGTCAAGGACGTCAAAACAACCGAACACGTGTACTTAACGTTAATTGGTTCAGCCAAGGACGTCAAAACAACGAAACACCTGTACTTGACGTTAATTAGTTCAGCCAATGACGTCAAAACAACCGAACACGTAAACTTAACGTTAATTAGTTCAACCAATGACGTCAAAACAACGGAACACGTTTACTTAACGTTAATTAGTTCAGCCAAGGACGTCAAAACAACCGAACACGAGAACTTAAAGTTAATTAGTTCAGCCAAGGACAACCGAACACGAGTACTTAACGTTAATTAGTTCAGCCAAGGACGTCAAAACAACGGAACACCTGTACTTACTTTTTGTTATCTTTTGGTAACATATATGTATACGTTAAACTAGAATGATGATTATATTTGTAAACGATTTGGTTGTAAAAGTTGTGTATCAGTGCGTAACATAACCAGACCGGACTCTGTATAATCTGTGAACCTGTATATATCAGAATCACTATTTACACACAGGATAAGTATATGGTATTGTAGGAGACTGGTGTCACAGTAAGCTAGCATATGTAGCCTTGTCGTGTTGTATTGTAAGTGCAGTATACTAATGTGTTGTGTGTCAAACTTATTTTTTAGAAACATTAATTATCAAATATGATATTTATATACATGTATACATAAAGATAATGCAACATTAAGTGTACCACTACAGAAGTATCTCTCGCTGGAGAGAAACTCGGCTCCAAAAGTTGGGACTTGGACAGACGTCAAGATTTTGTTGTAACCATGTACATGTGTACAATAAACAACTCGAAAAGACTTATTTTCGTCTTTATTAAGGAATCCTAGGCATATTATCGATGCCGGTGAAACGTTTAAAATAGACCCCGTGGAAAAAGGAACGTGTTCAGTTTTCAACGTGGAAAATTCGTTCAATTACTCCAAATCGAACCCACAAAAGAACTTAATAATTTAGGAAAGTATTTATCACTAGCGTTTAAACGTAGAGCAGATCTAGATGATACATGTTGTATATCAGTTTATTGAATACAAATTATGCAATATACCATCATATTGATAAGTCTTGTCTTGGTGAATGAGGGTGAAAAGGGTTCGGGCGTGTGTATGAATGTGAGTATGATGAATGACGAATGCTTGCTGCTGCTGTTGCTGATATGATGATGATGATGTGATGATGGAACGATGAGGATGATGAGGAAGATGAGGATGATGAAGAGGATGATGTGTGCGAGTTAGTGCGAGTGTTCTTGATGATGCGGATGATGTGTGCGAGTCAGTGTGAGTGTGTCCTTGTGAGTGTCTTTGTCTTATCTTTAATTGCCATAAGTTGTAAAACTTCAGCAAATAAAGAACTTGAACTATAGTTTTCAACGTGGAAAATGAAAGCGGGAAGCCGTGGGAAAAGGCCTCTAACTCAAATTGATTTCTACAAACCCGTTGAAAACGGACCCCATTGAAAAGTGAACCATACAAACAATTGGTATATCGATTTAAAATATCCATCATACTTAATGAGGTAACGTGACTAATTTCTTAAATTTGATGATCTTAATTGATTTTTTAATTGAGTTCAGAAATTAACCCAATATGGATTTCTGACGTGTGTGTTACCTAATTGATTGATGCATATAGAGCTGTGCTGTGTTTGTGACCTAATTGATTGATGTATATAGAACTGTGCCATGTTTGTTAACTTGTTGATTGATGCATATAGAACTGTGCCGTGTTTGTGACCTAATTGATTGATGCATTTATAACTGTGCCGTGTTTGTTACCTAATTGATTGATGCATATAGAACTGTGCCGTGTTTGTTACCTAATTGATTGATGCATATAGAACTGTGCCGTGTTTGTTACCTAATTGATTGATGCATATAGAACTGTGCCGTGTTTGTTACCTAATTGATTGATGCATATAGAACTGTGCCGTGTTTGTTACCTAATTGATTGATGCATATAGAACTGTGCCGTGTTTGTTACCTAATTGATTGATGCATATAGAACTGTGCCGTGTTTGTTACCTAATTGATTGATGCATATAGAATTGTGCCATGTTTGTACTTTACTTCGACCAGGTGTTTTGAAATACATGTTTGTTATTATTGTGTATAAATGATATGCCTACAAACCGCAAGGTCTCAAGCAATTAGACAATGCAATTACCTACGCTTTTCTACACATCAGATGTACTTGTATGTAGTTATGCCTGGTCACATAATGCAATTGCTATAGCATTGGAAAAGGCTTGATACTTAACCTTATTGATATGAATAGCTAGGGCTTACGACAAGGAAAGCCAAAACTATTTAGGATGCCTGTCTGCTTATCGAGGTGTACGTAAATGCTTATTTATTATAGTAGCCTAACTGACCGACAATCCTACTTAACGATCATTGATAAGGGTTAATTTTAGACATGTCAATCACACGAGACATTATTTTACAACTTTGGTTAATGCCGGTTATGACGAAACTGTAATTGTTGAAAGAAGACCTTTTAATTTATACGTTATGAAACGCTTATTCGGCATTACCGTAAACCTTGCAGCAGCTTCTAGGCAGTGTGTAGCTGTATTGCCTAGAATGCTTCACAGCCTTTGACTTAATCTAAGCGTAACGTTAAACCTGCAGTCTTCACATTGAACACTGGTCGTGTTACCTGTAGTCTTACAGTAGAGTACAGTAACTTACTGATGAGGGGAGACTAATATGTTTTTGTTAACAAAACAATTATCTAATTCACTTTTGTAAAAGAATATGATGGGCTGGGAAGTATGAAATGGAATAGTTTACATCTAAAGATGTTAAGCTTTTAAATCTGAATAGATGGTTGTTTTGATTTTAGGAAACAGTTTGTCAGTCGAATCCACTTTGAGGAAGATGAACCCACTGGCTCTGGTTCTGCACCTCAAAGTTACCCTATGGCACCGGCCCAGTCCAGCAGCACAGTCAAGTCCAGCACATCTAAGTCCTGCAGCACAGCCCAGTCCAGCAGCACAGCTAAGTCCAGCAGCACAGCTAAGTCCAGCACATCTAAGTCCAGTAGCACAGCTAAGTCCAGCACATCTAAGTCCTGCAGCACAGCACAGTCCAGTAGCACAGCTAAGTCCAGCACAGCCCAGTCTAGTAGCACAGCTAAGTCCAGCACATCTAAGTCCAGTAGCACAGGCTAGTCCAGTAGCACAGCTAAGTCCAACAGAACAACTAAGTCCAGCAGCACATCTAAGTCCAGTAGCACATCTAAGTCCAGTACCACAGCTAAGTCCAGTAACACAGCTAAGTCCAGCAGCACAACTAAGTCCAGCAGCACAGCCAAGTCCAGCAGCACAACTAAGTCCAGCACATCTAAGTCCAGTAGCACAGCTAATTCCAGTAACACAGCTAAGTCCAGCAGCACAACTAAGTTTAGCAGCACAGCCAAGTCCAGTAGCACAGCTAATTCCAGCAGCATAGCTAAGTTCAGCTCATCTAAGTCCAGCAGAACAACTAAGTCCAGCAGCACAACTAAGTCCAGCAGAACAACTAAGTCCAGCAGCACAACTAAGTCCAGCAGCACAACTAAGTCCAGTAGCACATCTAAGTCCAGCACCACAGCTAAGTCCAGTAACACAGCTAAGTACAGCAGCACAACTAAGTCCAGCAGCACAACTAAGTGTAGTAGCACATCTAATGCCAGTAGCAAAGTCCAGTACCACAGCTAAGTCCAGTAACACACCTAAGTCCAGCAGCACAACTAAGTCCAGCACATCTAAGTCCAGTAGCACAGCTAAGTCAAGCAGCACAGCTAAGTCCAGCAGCACAACTAAGTACAGCAGCACAACTAAGTCCAGCAGCACATCTAAGTCCAACAGCACATCTAGGTCCAACAGGACAACTAAGTCTAGTAGCACATCTAAGTCCGGTGGCACATCTAAGTCCAGTAGCACAGCTGAGTCCAGCAGCACAGCTAAGTCCAGCAGAACAACTAAGTCCAGCAGCACAACTAAGTCCAGTGGCACATCTAAGTCCAGTAGCACAGCTGAGTCCAGCAGCACAGCTAAGTCCAGCACATCTAAGTCCAACAGCAGATCTAAGTCCAACAGCACAACTAAGTCCAGTAGCACATCTAAGTCCAGCACCACAGCTAAGTCCAGCAGCACAGCTAAGTTTAGAAGCACAGCCAAGTCCAGTAGCACAGCTAAGTTCAGCAGAATAGCTCATTTCAGCACATCTAAGTCCAGCAGCACAGCTAAGTCCAGCACATCTAAGTCCAGTAGCACAGCTAAGTCCAGCAGCACATCTAAGTCCAACAGCACATCTAGGTCCAACAGCACAACTAAGTCTAGTAGCACATCTAAGTCCAGTGGCACATCTAAGTCCAGTAGCACAGCTAAGTCCACTAAGTCCAGCAGCACAGCTAAGTCCAGCAGAACAACTAAGTCCAGCAGCACAACTAAGTCCAGTAGACATCTAAGTCCAGTAGCACAATTAAGTCCAGTAGCTCAGCTAAGTCCTGCAGCACAGGCCAGTCCAGCAGCACAGATAAGTCCAGTAGCACATCTAAGTCCAGCAGCACATCTAAGTCCAGTAGCACAGCTAAGTCCACTAAGTCCAGCAGCACAGCTAAGTCCAGCAGATCTAAGTCCAGCAGCACAGCTAAGTCCTGCAGCACAGCTAAGTCCAGCAGCACAGCTAAGTCCATCAGCGCAGCTAAGTCCAGCAGCACAACTAAGTCCAGCAGCACATCTAAGTCCAACAGCACATCTAGGTCCAACAGCACAACTAAGTCTAGTAGCACATCTTAGTCCAGTGGCACATCTAAGTCCAGTAGCACAACTAAGTCCAGCAGCACAACTAAGTCCAGTAGACATCTAAGTCCAGTAGCACAATTAAGTCCAGTAGCTCAGCTAAGTCCTGCAGCACAGGCCAGTCCAGCAGCACAGATAAGTCCAGTAGCACATCTAAGTCCAGCAGCACAGCTAAGTCCAGCACATCTAAGTCCAACAGCAGATCTAAGTCCAACAGCACAACTAAGTCCAGTAGCACAGCTAAGTCCAGTAGCACAACTAAGCCCAGCAGCACAACTAAGTCCAACAGCACAACTAAGTCCCGTAGCACATCTAAGTGCAGTAGCACATCTAAGTCCAGCAGCACAGCTAACCAGCACATCTAAGTCCAGTAGCACAGCTAAGTCAAGCAGCACAGCTAAGTCCAGCAGCACAGCTAAGTCCAGTAGCACATCTAAGTCCAGCAGAACAGCTAAGTCCATCAGCACAGCTAAGTCCAGTAGCACAGCTAAGTCCAACAGCACATCTAAGTCCAACAGCACAACTAAGACCAGTAGCACATCTAAGTCCAGTAGCACATCTAAGTCCAGGAGCACAGCTAAGTCAAGCAGCGCAGCTAAGTCCCGCAGCACAGCTAAGTCCAGCAGAACAACTAAGTCCAGCAGCACAACTAAGTCCAGTAGACATCTAAGTCCAGTAGCACAATTAAGTCCAGTAGCTCAGCTAAGTCCTGCAGCACAGGCCAGTCCAGCAGCACAGATAAGTCCAGTAGCACATCTAAGTCCAGCAGCACAGCTAAGTCCAGCACATCTAAGTCCAGTAGCACAGCTAAGTCCAGTAGCACAACTAAGCCCAGCAGCACAACTAAGTCCAACAGCACAACTAAGTCCAGTAGCACAACTAAGTCCAACAGCACATCTAAGTCCAACAGCACAACTAAGTCCAGTAGCACAGCTAAGTCCAACAGCACATCTAAGTCCAACAGCACAACTAAGACCAGTAGCACATCTAAGTCCAGTAGCACATCTAAGTCCAGTAGCACATCTAAGTCCAGCAGAACAGCTAAGTCCATCAGCACAGCTAAGTCCAGTAGCACAACTAAGTCCAGCAGCACATCTAAGTCCAGTAGCACAACTAAGTCCAGTAGCACAGCTAAGTCCAACAGCACATCTAAGTCCAACAGCACAACTAAGTCCAGTAGCACATCTAAGTCCAGTAGCACAGCTAAGTCCAGTAGCATAGCTAAGTCAAGTAGCACAGCTAAGTCCAGTAGCACAGCTAAGTCCAACAGCACAGCTAAGTCCAGTAGCACAGCTAAGTCCAACAGCACAGCTAAGTCCAGTAGCACAGCTAAGTCCAGCACATCTAAGTCCAACAGCAGATCTAAGTCCAACAGCACAACTAAGTCCAGTAGCACAGCTAAGTCCAGTAGCACAGCTAAGTCCAGTAGCACAGCTTAGTCCAGCACATCTAAGTCCAGCAGCACAGCTAAGTCCAGCAGAACAACTAAGTCCAGCAGCACAACTAAGTCCAGTAGACATCTAAGTCCAGTAGCACAATTAAGTCCAGTAGCTCAGCTAAGTCCTGCAGCACAGCCCAGTCCAGCAGCACAGCTAAGTCCAGCAGCACATCTAAGTCCAGTAGCACAATTAAGTCCAGTAGCTCAGCTAAGTCCTGCAGCACAGCCCAGTCCAGCAGCACAGCTAAGTTCAGTAGCACATCTAAGTCCAGCAGCACATCTAACCTGCAGCACAGCCCAGTCCAGCAGCACAGCTAAGTCCATTAGCACATCTAAGTCCAGCAGCACAGCTAAGTCCAGTAGCACAGCTAAGTCCAGCAGCACAACTAAGTCCAGCAGCACAGCACAGTCCAGTAGCACAGCTAAGTTCAGCAGCACAACTAAGTCCAGCACACAGCCAAGTCCAGTAGCACATCTAAGTCCAGCACATCTAAGTCAAGCAGCACAGCCAAGTCCAGTAGCACAGCTAAGTCCAGTAGCACAGCTAAGTCCAGTAGCACAGCTAAGTCCAGCAGCACAGCTTAGTCCAGTAGCACAGCTAAGTCCAGCAGCACATCTAAGTCCAACAGCACATCTAAGTCCAACAGCACAACTAAGTCTAGTAGCACATCTAAGTCCAGTAGCACATCTAAGTCCAGTAGCACAGCTAAGTCCAGCACATCTAAGTCCAACAGCAGATCTAAGTCCAACAGCACAACTAAGTCCAGTAGCACAACTAAGTCCAACAGCACATCTAAGTCCAACAGCACAACTAAGTCTAGTAGCACATCTAAGTCCAGTAGCACATCTAAGTCCAGTAGCACAGCTAAGTCCAGCACATCTAAGTCCAACAGCAGATCTAAGTCCAACAGCACAACTAAGTCCAGTAGCACAACTAAGTCCANGCACAACTAAGTCCAGCAGCACAGCACAGTCCAGTAGCACAGCTAAGTCCAACAGCACAGCCCAGTCCAGTAGCACACCTAAGTACAGCAGCACAACTAAGTCCAGCAGCACATCTAAGTCCAGTAGCACAGCTAATTCCAGTAGCACAGCTAAGTCCAGCAGCACAACTAAGTCCAGCAGCACAGCCAAGTCCAGTAGCACAGCTAAGTCCAGCAGCACAGCCAAGTCCAACACATCTAAGTCCAGAAGCACAGCCAAGTCCAGCAGCACAACTAAGTCCAGCAGCACAACTAAGTCCAGCAGCACAGCTAAGTCCAGCAGCACAGCTAAGTCCAGCAGCACAACTAAGTCCAGCAGCACATCTAAGTCCAGCAGCACAGCTAAGTCCAGCACATCTAAGTCCAGCAGCACAGCTAAGTCCTGCAGCACAGCTAAGTCCAGCAGCACAGCTAAGTCAAGCAGCACAACTTAGTCCAGCAGAACAGCTAAGTCCAGCAGCACAGCTAAGTCCAGCAGCACAACTTAGTCCAGCAGAACAGCTAAGTCCAGCAGCACAGCTAAGTCCAGCAGCACAGCTAACTCAAGCAGCACAACTTAGTCCAGCAGAACAGCTAAGTCCAGCAGCACAGCTAAGTCCAGCAGCACAGCTAACTCAAGCAGCACAACTTAGTCCAGCAGAACAGCTAAGTCCAGCAGCACAGCTAAGTCCAGCAGCACAACTAAGTCCAGCACATCTAAGTCCAGCAGCACAACTAAGTCCAGTAGCACATCTAAGTCCAGTAGCACAGCTAAGTCCAGTAGCACAGCTAAGTCCAGCAGCACAACTAAGTCCAGCAGCACATCTAAGTCCAACAGCACAACTAAGTCCAGCAGCACAGCCAAGTCAAGCAGCACAACTAAGTCCAGCAGCACAACTAAGTCCAGCAGCACAACTAAGTCCAGTAGCACAGCTAAGTCCAGCAGCACAGCTAAGTCCAGTAGCACAACTAAGTCCAGCAGCACATCTAAGTCCAACAGCACATCTAAGTCCAACAGCACAACTAAGTCCAGTAGCACATCTAAGTCCAGTAGCACAGCTAAATCCAGCACATCTAAGTCCAACAGCACATCTAAGTCCAACAGCACAACTAAGTCCAGTAGCACAGCCAAGTCAAGCAGCACAACTAAGTCCAGCAGCACAACTAAGTCCAGCAGCACAACTAAGTCCAGTAGCACAGCTAAGTCCAGCAGCACAACTAAGTCCAGCAGCACAACTAAGTCCAGCAGCACAACTTAGTCCAGCAGCACAGCCAAGTCCAGCAGCACAGCTAAGTTCAGCAGCACAACTAAGTCCAGCACACAGGCAAGTCCAGTAGCACAGCTAATTCCAGCAGCATAGCTAAGTTCAGCACATCTAAGTCCAGCAACACATCTAAGTCCAGCACATCTAAGTCCAGCAGCACATCTAAGTCCAACAGCACAACTAAGTCCAGCACATCTAAGTCCAGCAGCACAGCTAAGTCCAGTAGCACATCTAAGTCAAGCAGCACAGTCAAGTCCAGTAGCACAGCTAAGTCCAGTAGCACAGCTAAGTCCAGTAGCACAGCTAAGTCCAGCAGCACAGCTAAGTCCAGCAGCACAACTAAGTCCAGCACATCTAAGTCCAGCAGCACAGCCAAGTCCAGCAGCACAACTAAGTCCAGCAGCACAGCACAGTCCAGTAGCACAGCTAAATCCAACAGCACAGCCCAGTCCAGTAGCACAGATAAGTACAGCAGCACAACTAAGTCCAGCAGCACATCTAAGTCCAGTAGCACAGCTAAGTCCAGCAGCACAGCCAAGTCCAGCACATCTAAGTCCAGCAGCACAGCCAAGTCCAGCAGCACAACTAAGTCCAGCAGCACAACTAAGTCCAGCAGCACAACTATTTCCAGCAGCACAGCCAAGTCCAGCAGCACAGCTAAGTCCAGCAGCACAATTAAGTCCAGCACACAGCCAAGTCCAGTAGCACAGCTAATTCCAGCAGCATAGCTAAGTTCAGCACATCTAAGTCCAGCACATCTAAGTCCAGCAGCATAGCTAAGTCCAGCAGCACAACTAAGTCCAGCAGCACAGCTAATTCCAGCAGCATAGCTAAGTTCAGCACAACTAAGTCCAGCAGCACAGTCCAGTAGACACGATCATCAGTTAGATGATCATAAGTCGACCAGAATTAACGGCTTTATCATGTCGGTCACCGCGTTAACAAGATCCTTAAAGAAGACACATTTAGTGTTTTGTAGCTATCTACGTTTATATGATAAACAAGGAAAATATGCGGTGTTCCTTCTACTCATTTTCCCGTTTTTTCTTCGTCTGCTGGATAACCGAACTTCTATGTAGTGAAGCGGACGGGTAACCTATCAATCAATCAATCATCACAGGTCCGATGGGCCTCCTATTTAGTTCATATGACGAAATACACAATAAAATACTAATTTGATATTTTTCAAAGATTTTTTTTTATATAGCAGAATTACAGTGCATTGCATGCTTTTGTTTAAGCTTCTTGACTGGTGTTGACAATATCTTCAGCTTTGCTGATTGATGACCACACGAAGTGGAGCCATGTGAGTACCATCGCAGGCACGTTAAAAGATAAAGGCACGCCTCTTTCACATCTAATCAAGTAGCAGGAAGATGGAATACACTAACGCGGGCATACAAAAATAATAAAGATAGCAATAGGAAATCTAGAAATGCACGGAAGAGCTTCTAAAACGAAAAAGAAATGGACGCCATTTTTGGGAAAGATCCAGTTGTTACACCAGCTGCTGTAATGTCAAGTTAATAGTGTAGAAAATGGTGACAGCGGCGTGGCTCAAGATAATTCAAGTGCAGAAAGCACAGGGACCTGGGAATTTGTTACAGCTACATTATACCTTAACGAAGGTGTTCAAAGTAATGTTATATGCTTTATTGGTTTAGATCGATTTTCGGTAAAAATGACACCCCAGTGATCATATATACGAGAAGGGCGGAAAGCTCGCGATGTCGAAAAGTCGACCCCACCTAACTTTCTTGCATCAAAAACAACATGTCTAGTTGATCTACGGGACAATGCTTAGTACCGTTGGAAAGATGGATTATATTTTCTTTTGAAAACCTCTTATATTCACGTAAAATGAATATGTATTCTCTTTCCGCGTACATGATCTCCGTCTCCTCCAAAAACACACACCATTTTAGAGTTTCAAAGGTTTTTCGCAGTGGCAGTATTATGTAAAGGAAAAAGGCCGAAAACTGTCCATTCTGTGTCGGAATGAATAGTGGGCACCTTTTTGTGATAAGAATAATGGACAGCTACTGAACAATGTACAGGTAATGAAGTTAACAAAGACAATGCATTTAGGTGTATGCAGCAAAGGTCATTCATTCAGGAATGCATAGTATTAATTTACTGGACAGGTACAGGGACAGTTACTATAGTATTAACTTACTGGACAGGTACAGGTAGAGTTACTATGGTATTAACTTACTGAACAGGTACAGGTAGAGTTACTATAGTATTAACTTACTGGACAGGTACAGGTAGAGTTACTATATTTGGAAATGCACGTAATTTTCATGGCCAAATACTGATAAAGAGAATCCTGGGTATTTACCAGTCAGTCCAGCTTAGTCGTTTGATGTGAGAACATGTGATCCTCAGGAGACGACAATATCACTTTCAACATTATTTTGGAAGGTAAAGGCATGTTGATTAACACAACACATTGAACAGAGAGCATACGTTGACGTTTACTAAAATGACACTTAAATTGCGGCATCGTGATAAAAATAGAAAAACAAAATATCCTGAAGCAGAGGGTAAATCAATTCAAACTTCAAACATCTCCTTAACCAACACTGGTGGCAGTTAAAGGATCTCACGTACAGGAAATAACCACTACATTCGTGCAATATCAGGAAATGGCTATTGGGTTAATTCTACCTCCAAGAATGGATCATTGTGTGTGAAGATCTGTTGGATTGTTCCTAATCAAGACATGTTTTTCTATTCCGTCAATATTCATATTTTAAAAGAAAAATAGGATTACTCAAAAAACAATCAAAAGTGATATGGGCAAGCTGAATGTTCCTGGATCAAATATAACTATCTGTGGTGTTTCAATGGATTATATTTTGTTAATTTGTTAATTTATTTAAATGTACATTTATATAGAAACGTCATATGTTATAAATAAATTGTGGATTTTCTTCTAAGATTTGCTGGTGCTTAAAATCATTTTTGTTACCTATAACTGTCCATTTCTAAACATAATAATGGACAGCTACAGGTTCTTCATTGTACATTCTACTACAGTACGTACAACGAGAACTATGTCAAACAGGAAGGACTGGTGGTGCTGGAGTATACACACAAACAGTAATGGAAGCTGTTTCAATATGGTCATTGTTTCAGTGACAGACTAGTTTCCCCAGCGTTATCTGCGTCAGAGGTTTTGATGCAGATTCCAGGATCCACTCAAATACGGAAACCAATAAGGCTGCCTTTGCCACAAAAATCAAAGAGCTTACAAAAACTTGATTTTTTTTATAGAATACAAGAGCAAATAACAGATGTTGAGGAAGGCTGGGCCTATTCTAATTCATGGGAGAATATAACTGTGTTTAATCAGTTTACTGTAGACAGTAATGAACCGACACCCATTTTACAGGCTAAATTGGGACCCTCTTTAATTTTTGATTTCATTTGTTATATCATTGATTCCAATACTGTGTATATGATATAACCTATCTACACTGAATGACCAGTATCATCTATTCAAATTGGTGCCGTCACCAAAAAGGCATTAAAAAGGTAATGACTCCCAATATAACAAGGTCATCAGGTCATAGCCAAAACAACAAACTAATTGCAAGTTATTTTTTAAGATGAATTTCTTAATTATAACAGAAAACAAGAGCTGCCGAGGGCATGTATCGCTCACCTGGATGATAAAGCAACCGTGGAAACTGTTCCTTATTATTTATAATACTGCAAATATTTCATATATTGGTTCTATCACTCAGCAACACCCTACCTTCATTAGGTCCCTTTTTCTGTCTCCATGAAGTAGTGGGGTGGATTTGCAACATTTACCGCATTTTCCCCTATTGGGCCCCACTCCTGTTCTCTCAGGGGGACACATCTTCCATTTATACAAAATTGGGTCCAATTTGCCGAAGGATGCTCTTGACAAAACTTTAGTTAAAATCCCTCCAATCGTACTGAAGGAGAAGGATTTTAAAGATTCACCTCAATTGAGCCTTAGGGAGCACATCCTCCGTTTATACAAATTTGAGTTCCCTTTACTCAAGGATGCTCCAGGCCAAATAGTCAAAATCCATTAAGCTGATTAGGACTTGTAGTGTTTTAAAGAAAAAGTTGGTGGAAATACGGATAACCCGATATATGCTGGCCATGGCATAGGCTTATGGCCAATGTGTTTATACACATGGCTTAAAATTGATGACATTTTATCAACTTTCTATTGTTCTGTTTGAATGGTCACAACACACACTTGTATTGATTTCAATCGCACCCAATTCTACGGCATTTTCACATGCATTGAATCATTAGAGTATATCCATTTCCTGCAACACATATTACAAGAAGCCAAATGGCCCTGCATCACTCACCTGGTTTTAATCTCACACTTGTAATCTTAAAAGTGGACTAAAAACAGCTACAGGCAGAATATCAGTGTTTGATTCATAAGAACCTATTAAAGGATTTTAGTGACCTTGAAAGCCAAACAAGGACATTAAGTTGAACAGACTTTATAGCCTTTCATATACTTCTGGCCAACTACCTTTACCCTGGACATTTTGGTTATTCAAAAGAAGTCATTTAATGATTTCAACATATTTGTTCCCTGTGACCTTGAATACAAGCAAAGGTCATTCATTTAAACAAGCTTTGTAGCCCATCATCCTAGCATGTAACTGGCCAAATATCATCACCCAAGGCCTCTAAAATTGGTTATTCAGAAGAAGCCATTGAAAGATTTTAACATATTTGTCCCCTGAAACCTTGAAATGGGATAAGGTCATTCATTTGAACAAAATTGGTAGCCCTTCATCTGCACATGTTGCGGGCCAAATATCGACACCCTAGGTCTCTTGGTTATTCAGAAGAAGTTGTTTTAAAGGTTTATACCAAATTTGACCCCTGTGACCTTGAATATAGGTCAAGGTCATTTATTTAAACAAAATAGGTAGCCCTATATCCAAGCATGCTACTGGCCAAATATCATCATCCTTGGCCTTTTGGTTATCCAAAAGAAATCATAACAAGATTTTGAACATATTTGATCCCTGTGACCTTAAATAAATGTCAAGGTCATTTGTTTTAACAAATTTGGTAGCCCTTTATACCAGCATGTGACTTGCCAAATATCACTTTAGGCCTTTGTGATTATTCAGAAGGTGTTTTAAAGGTTTTAAATATATTTGATCCCTGTGACATTGAATATCGGTAAAGGTCATTCATTTAAACAAGCTTTGTAGCCCATCATCCCAGCATGTTACTGGCAAAATATCGACACTCTAGGCCTATTGGTTATGCAGAAGAAGTTATTTAAATGCTAAAACATATTTGACCCTCCTGAGACTTTGAATATAAGTCAAGGTGATTCATTTGAACAAACTTGGTAGTGCTTCATCCCAGCATATTATTGGCAAATTATCATCAACCTAGGCCTATTGGTTATTCAGAAGAAGTTGTTTAAAGTAAAAAGTTGACGCCGGACGTGCCAGATGAGCTAATTAATGCAAGAAAAATCAACTTATGTCAGATAGGATTCTAAAGAAACATAAAGCTATAAAACGAAGTTCATAAGTTAGAAATATTAAGTTATAGTTAGTATGTGACAGGTTAGTGACAGACATACAGTATTTAGTTATAGTTTGTATGTGACAGGTTAGTGACAGACATACAGTATTTAGTTATAGTTAGTATGTGATAGGTTAGTGACAGACATTCAGTATTTAGTTATAGTTAGCATGTGACAGGTAGTGACAGACATACAGTATTTAGTTATAGTTATTATGTGACAGGTTAGTGACAGACATACAGTATTTAGTTATAATTAGTATGTGACAGGTATAGCGACAGACATACAGTATTTAGTTATAATTAGTATGTGACAGGTTAATGACAGACATAAAGCATTTAGTTATAGTTATTATGTGACAGGTTACTGACAGACATATAGTATTTAGTTATAGTTAGTATGTGGCAGGTTAGTGACAGACAAACAGTATTTAGTTATAGTTAGTAGGTTTCAGGTTAGTGACAAACATACAGTATTTAGTTATAGTTTGTATGTGACAGGTTAGAGACAGACATACAGTATTTAGTTATAGTAAGTATGCGACAGGTTAGTGCCAGACATATAGTATTTAGTTATAGTTAGTATGTGACAGGCTAGTGACAGACAAACAGTATTTAGTTATAGTTATTATGTGTCAGGTTAGTGACAGACATACAGTATTTAGTTTTAGTTAGTATGTGACAGGTTAGGGACAGACATACAGTATTTAGTTATAGTTAGTATGGGACAGGTTAGTGACAGACATACAGTATTTAGTTATAATTAGTATGTGACAGGTTAGTGACAGACATACAGTATTTAGTTATAGTTAGTATGTGACAGACATACAGTATTTAGTTATAGTTAGTATGTGACAGGTTAGTGACAGACAAACAGTATTTAGTTATAGTTAGTATGTGTCAGGTTAGTGACAGACATACAGTATTTAGTTATAGTTTGTATGTGACAGGTTAGAGACAGACATACAGTATTTAGTTATAGTAAGTATGCTACAGGTTAGTGCCAGACATATAGTATTTAGTTATAGTTATTATGTGACAGGTTAGTGACAAACATACAGTATTTAGTTTTAGTTAGTATGTGACAGGTTAGTGACGGACATACAGTATTAAGTTATAATTAGTATGTGATAGGTTAGTGACATAAAGTATTTAGTTATAATTAGTATGTGACAGACATACAGTATTTAGTTATAGTTAGTATGTGACAGGTTAGTCACAGACATACAGTATTTAGCTATAGTTAGTATGTGACAGGTTAGTCACAGACATACAGTATTTAGCTATAGTTAGTATGTGACAGGTTAGTGACGGACATACAGTATTAAGTTATAATTAGTATGTGATAGGTTAGTGACATAAAGTATTTAGTTATAATTAGTATTTGACAGACATACAGTATTTAGTTACCTCAATACAGTTAATGATCTTGATTGCAGCAGATTTTATGAGACTTGCCACTTGATTATTGGATTGGACATCAGGCTAGGCCTATTTAGACATACAGTATTTAGTTATAAGTAGTATGTGACAGGTTAGTGAAAGACATTCAGTATTTAGTTATAGTTAGTTTGTGACAGATTAGTGACAGACATACAGTCTTTAGTTATAGTTAGTATGTGACAGACATACAGTATTTAGTTACCTCAATACAGTTAATGATCTTGATTGCAGCAGATTTTATGAGACTTGCCACTTGATTATTGGATTGGACATCAGGCTAGGCCTATTTAGACATACAGTATTTAGTTATAGTTTGTATGTGACAGGTTAGTGACAGATATACAGGATTTAGTTATAATTAGTATGTGACAGACATTCAGTATTTAGTTATAGTTAGCATGTGACAGGTAGTGACAGACATAGAGTATTTAGTTATAGTTATTATGTGACAGGTTAGTGACAGACATAAAGTATTTAGTTATAATTAGTATGTGACCGGTTAGTGACAGACATACAGTATTTAGTTACCTCAATACAGTTAATGATCTTGATTTCAGCAGATTTTATGAGACTTGCCACTTGATTATTGGATTGGACATCAGGCTAGGCCTATTTAAGTCCTTTCCAAACTTATTTACAAACATTATCATGTATATTTATTGACAACCTATCCTACACAAAATTGATAGGATACATGCCCAAAAGACCTCGTGTATGAACACATTTCGCTGTCTACCCACTGGATATACAGGAGAAGTAACAAAGAAACACATATTTGGAAAGCATTTATTCATAGAGGAAAGTGTAGTTATTTTCATCTATTCATTGGAGTTGATTCTCTTAAATAGTAAAACACTGTAGAATAATTACATAACTAAAGAATAATTAGAACAGTAAATGATCTGAACAGGCATAAGCTCATAGGCACTTTATAGCATATCAGATAACAATGCAACATCTGAAAATTTGTATACATCGTCATATAATACATGTACATGTATGTCATACTGTTTCTAGGTTAGTTTACATACCAAACACGGGAATTCAAAAATAAATAAAAGTCAAGCAATTAGTTATAATCACATAAATGATAAATTCTTTAACAACCATTAGACATATATGACCGGTACATACTACAAAATACCTTGGTAGATCAGCAACCCGGGTATACTGAAACAAGAGACCCAGAGGGCCTGTATCGCTCACTGTTTTTTTTGTTACATGAAACTGACATATAGGTAACTTCAGACCAAATTTGGTAACTAGAACACGAGACATTTTAACATCTCTTAAACGGTTCTTAAGATATTGTTGTTTGAAATTTGAACTTTTAAGGAGGCTCCACCCTTTCGCAATTAGCCAGCAGAATTCAATGAAAGTTTCACATAATGGTTATGTTACTATATAGAAATGATTTTATGAAAATCTAAGCATTCCGATAAACTAGGATTTTTTTGTCAAATTCAACACTTCCACATTTTTTGAGCGTGTGGCATTATTCAAAACTATTACAAAAAAAAAATAATGAAAAGAAACATTGCTAATCAACCCTACAAATATTTTATTTATCATAAAATATCTACAAAATGTTACAAAAAGCGTTTTTTTAATGTAATTGTATGGATAAAAGTTACTAAATACAATCTAAGAGCAAACAGGACACATAATCTAATACAAAAAGAGTGAGAAATTGAACCAAATACACACAAAGTCTTCATAATTCATTTATTTTACATTTTACAATAATTTTGATCCTGATGAGAGTTGTCTACCTTCAAAAAAATCGAAACTTTTTGCAGAGGGATAGAAATTATACAATGACACTTATTTTATTTTCTATACCAAAAACGACGGAAATAAATTAAATTACTATATTTAATTGTCTTCTGAATTTTTAGCATATTTGACCCCTGTAACTTTGAAAGTAGGTCATGGTAATTTTAATGATGAAACTTTTAGCACTCCATCCCAGGTACCAACTGACCAAATAGCATGACCCTTGGTCCTCCAGTTCTTCAGAAGAAGTCATTCAAAAGAAAAAGTTGACGTACGGACGCCGGATGCCGCAGTATACGTAGGACCAGGTGAGCTAAAACTGGACATTTTCAAGGTGTTGAGTAAAGTGCAAAAATATTTACATGTGAAAATTCAACTTATAGATTATTTGATTACATAGATTATATACAGTGTAGATTACATTTGATAACCTAGATTTCTGAACCATTGTAAGCATACAAATGTCCACACTGTCATCTGTTTAAATAGTCACAATGACAACATATCCGCATGTAAGAATTTACATTTTTCTCAGTAGTACGTAACAAATCAAACATTGTGGCAAAATTACACTACAGACCAAATTATCTAGGTTTTACAACTCAATACACTACAGACCAAATTATCTAGGATTTACAATTCAATACAATATCAAGTCATAATTTTACAGTAGAAATCAGTTACATCTGTGATCTGAACAGGTTTGACGCAAAATACAAAGTTATACCACAATGTTATTATATAATATTATTGGTTTATTATAACAAAGCTAAAAAAGAAGAAATATTTTAAAATTAAGCAGATGAACTTTAAGATTTGTTGGACATTGATAGGAATGCTTAAGTTCACTATTTGTTTTATTATAATGACACATTTTTACCTGATTCATATTCACATAATTCATATATCGGTATCAGCAAAATATAAAAGTTCCAATTCCAGTGAAGTTTAAATAATTTATCTACAACTGTGTGTGAAAGATTTGTATGTAAAGGATTCACAAAATCAGAGGTGTCCCTGAACTGTTGGTTCAGCAGGTTCTACATCCTGATCACTGAGGAGATCATCTGTGTTGGTTGTCTGTACGCCAGGGATATCTCTATACACTGGTGCAGTACCTGTACAATATTTACATGAATCATGTTTATTCTTAGAAATGTATTAACTACTATCTATATTGTATACCTGGACATTTTTCACCCAGTCAAACTTTTGCCCTTGGCTCATAAAAGCCCTTCACATAAAATAACTAAGTGTATCATGTAGTTCACTTATATTTGCTGTATTGATAAAGTCGCCCTCATTATGGAGGGAGAGAGCACAATCATTTAACTGCAAGAGGGAATTCCTTGTATGCAGTATTACTATGAATAATCAAGCTCTTGCTCTGATAAGTTAACCCAACAGGACAGTAAGATATAGAAAAACCTATGCATATTTCTGTATTAAACAGAGGAAGTTCATGCTAGGTTTTAATTCCACCCGTTTGATATAGCCATACCATACAGATAAGATTTATATTTATAAATACACTCTTTCTGCATATCATATGGGGTTCAAAGCAAGGTAAATTACCCCTCTAAGGACTAACATTCATTATACCTTCTTCTTAAGATCAACCCTCCTCTCAAGATTAACCCTCTTCTAAAGATTAACCCTCTTCTAAAGATCAACCCTCTTCTTAAGACGTGAGTATATCTACTAACCTCCTTTTAGAACTCAGGTATCAATGTGAAGCTCAACTTTTGCAATAAGACCTAAAAGTCTTGCGTTCTTCTTCAGACTTACCTGGCGTGTGCTCTCTGGGAGAATCATACCATCGTTCCAGATCCGTGATGCTGCATAAAACCCTGACGACTCTGTCATACATTGCTCCACTACCTTCTGTTTATAGGCTTCCCTCTCGTCCTTTGTCATCTCACTGCCCTCAAACTTCACCTACGAGACAGAGGGAATCAGAACAATAATATGTACACCAATCTCTTGTTATCTATGTGTTTTATCAATAACAAAACACCTTTACAACAAATTTATATGTAATGTGATGCACAAAGAGTTTTTAAATTAAAAGATTTATTTAGTATTAGTGGTTAGCGCCTGATAAGACAGTTCCTGCGAATTCCTAAAAAATTGTATTGATCAATGTATATGCTAATTGTTTATCTATGTACTGTAAAGCGCTTTAGAGTGGCTTATGTTAGTTAGATAGGTCGCTATATCAAATGTTGTATATTATTATTATATTAGAAATTTTGTAATATTACTTTTGTCATGCAGAGACAAAAATGTACTTAATTCCTTATATGGTAGCTATTTTTTCAGCTCAGCTTAATTACCTGGCAGAGGTCCCGAATGGCCTCATTTGGATGGGTCATCCCTATCACAGCATTCGGCCAACAGAAGATAAAGTTAGGACTGGTACATCTTCCTCCCTGTAAATAGGTGTTTAACGTATTGTTAGTTTCTCTGGATCTTTCATATTTGTTCCTGTACTTGTTTTCCTTCACTTAAAAGTTTATAAACTCAGTTTAACATACATGACAATGACAGTCCAACTTCTTTCAAACAAGAGGCCAAGAGGGCCTGTATCGCTCACCTGAAAATGTTAGCAAAATTGAAGTAAGAATAGCCAGATGTTGCTGGTAGTGTACATGTATTACATGGTTAGTCAGGGGTAATATTTATATGCAATTTGACAAAATCTTTTCATTCCTCAAATAAAAGGAGTATTTCAAAGAATCTGCTATGTTTCCCGTATTGGGCCCCGCCCCTCTGTCCTCAGGGGGGGTCAGACCCATCGTTGATACAAAATTAGGTCCCTTTCACCCAAGGATGCTTTAGACCAAATATGGACATAAACCTGTCATTCCTATAGAAGAAGAAGGATTTAAAAACTATTTTTCCTCTTTGCCCTGCCTCTCTGCCAAAAGGAGGGGTCAGACCCACCGTTTATACAAAATTGGTTCCCCTTCTACTAAGGGTGCTTCATCCCAAATTTAACACAAGAGACCCAGAAGGCCTGTATCGCTCACCTAGATATATAAGCAATTGGGGATTTTTTTTCTCCAAATGAGATCCAAAGGAATATGCCAGATCCCAAGACCAATCCTTGTAGCATATCTGTGTTAGATTTTTCATGCCAACCAATTTTATGTATGGTTATGGGGTGGGGATCTCAACTGTTTCCAAGCTGTGTCTCGGAAACTAGGTCGATCCCTAGGGTTGTGGCCAGACCCCAGGATCAATTCTAATATCATGACTGCATTTGTCTCTTTTTGCCCAGCATTTGTATATATAGTTTTGGGGTGGGAAACTCAACTGTTTCAAAGTTATAACCCAGGGGTTAAGTCTCCAAGGGTGGGGCAGCCCCCAAGGCCATCCTGGAAGCAAATGTGCATTCATCTCTTTATGCTCAGCAATTGTATAGATAGTTATAGGGTGGGGCTCTCAACTGTTTCCAAGCTGTGACTAACAAACTAGGTTCTGTCAGACCCCAGGGTCTATTCTAATATCATGACTGCATTCGTCTCTTTATGCCCAGCATTTGTATATCTAGTTTTGGGGTGGGGATCTCAATTGTTTTAAAGTTATGGCCCAGGGACTATGTCTTCAAGGGTGGGGCTAGAACCCTAGGGCCATCCTGGACATTCTTCTCTTTATACTCAGTAATTGTATATATGGTTATATGGTGGGATCTCAACCATTTCCAAGTAATAAAATGTTTTTGGCCCCACCTCTTAGCCTGGGATTCAGCCATATCATTTGTACAATTTTGAATTCCTGCCTCCCATGAATGCTTCCGACCAAATATGATCGATATCCATGGCATAGTTCTAAGAAGAAGTTGTTTATAGCAATATAGCCAAATTGCCCCCTTTTGGCCCCGCCTATAGCCCCCTGGGGGGTCAGCCCGTCCATTTGTACAATTTTGAATCCCCACCACCTAGGGATGCTTCCAGTCAAATATGGTTGATATCCATCTCTAAGTTCCAGAGAAGAAGTCGCTTAAAGCAATATAGCCAAATTGCCCCTTTTTGCCCTGCTGCCTCTCAGCCCCCTAGGGGGTCAGCCCCAACATTTGTACTATTTTGGATCTCCACCACCTAGGGATGCTTCCAGTCAAATGTAGTTAAATTCCAATCAGTTGTTAAGAAGGAGAAGTCGTTTAAAGAAATTGTTGACGGATGGACGACGGACGCCACAGTATGGCATCTCTCATCTTGGCTTCGAACCCAGTGAGCTAAAAATCCTGTCATTCCTACTGAGGAAAAAGGATTTTTAAAGAATTTGCTATGTTTCCTCTATTGGGCCCCGCCACTCAGGCCCCAGGGAGTCCAAAACCACCATTTATACAAAATTGATTTCCCTTCCAAATATGATGCTACTGTTCAAATTTGGTCAAAATACCTTCATCCCAACGGAAGAAGGAAATTAAAACTATTCCTCTATATCCCTTATTGGGCCCTGCCTCTCTGCCCCCAGGGGGGTCAGACCCAACGTTTATACAAAATTGATTCCCCTTCACCCAAGGATGCTTCATACCAAATTTGGACAAAACCCTTTCATTCCTACAGAAGAAGAAGGATTTCATAAAATTTGCTATGTTTCCCCTATTGGGCTCCGCTTCTCAGCTCCCAGGGGGGCCACACCCACTGTTTATACAAAATTGAGTCCCTTTTGCCCCAAGGATGCTCCAGACTAAATTAGGATAATATACCTTAATCCCTACGGTAGAAGAAGGATTTTAAATGTTTTACCTCTATTTCCCCTATTGGGCCCTGCCCCTCTGCCCCCAGGGGGCCACACCCATCATTTATACAAAATTGAGTCACTTTGGCCTAAGGATGCTCCAGACCAAATTTAGTCAAAATCTACTTGGCCGTTCAGGACTAGTAGCGTTTTAAAGGAAAAGTTGATGACAACGGAAGCTGCGGTATGGCATCAGCTCATCATGGTCCTTCGGACCAGGTGAGCTAGTAAAATTAACTTATAAACATAACTGTCAAGATTATTTAATTCATGCAAAATAAAATAATATAATAACAAGAGGCCCAATGGGCCTGAATCACTCACCTGGTATTAATGTCACACTTGTAATCTTAATAGTGGACAAAAATACAGATACATGCAAAATATCAGTATTTGATTCAAAAGAAACTATTAAAAGATTTCAACATATTTGACCCCTGCGACCTTGACAATGGCGAAAGGTTATTCACTTGAACAAACGTGGTAGCCCTTCATCCCTGCATGCTACTGGCCAAACATTATCACCCTATGCCTCTTGGTTATTCAGAAGAAGTTGTTTAAAGGTTTTGAACATATTTGACCCCTGTCACCTTGATTATAAGTCAAGGTCATTTGTTTCATCAAAATTTTGTAGCCCTTCATCCCAGCATGTTACTGGCCAAATATCATCACCCTAGGAGTTTCGGTTATTCAGAAGAAGTCATTAAAAGATTTTAACACAGTTGACGCGTGACCTTGGAAATGGGCGAAAGTCATTCATTTGAACAATCTTGGTAGCCCTTCATGCCAGCATGGCACTGGCCAAACATCATCACCCTAGGCCTCTTGGTTATTCAGAATAAGTTGTTTAAAGGTTTTAAACATATTTGACGCCTGTCACCTTGAATATAAGTCAAGGACATTTGTTTCAACAAAATTGTATAGTCTTTCATCCCAGCATGTTACTGGCCAAATATCATCACTCTAGGATTTTCGGTTATTCAGAAGAAGTCATAAAAAGATTTTAACATAATTGACCTGTGACCTTGAAAATGAACGAAGGTAATTCATTTGAACAATCTTGGTAGCCCTTCATGCCAGCATGCCACTGGCCAAATATCATCATCCTAGGCCTTTCGGTTAATGTGAAGATGTTGTTTAAAGTAAAAAGTTGACACTGGACGGCGGACGGCGGACACTGGACCAAGGCATACGCTCACTTGCCCTTCAGACAGGTGAGCTAAAAACTAATAAGTTTCTCAGAGTACAGTTTATGAAATACTATGTGTCTTGGAATGCTGCAAATAACCTGACATAGAATCATAGAATAATGACGTAACGTCAGATGTTGACGCACAACAGTGTAACACACTTTTAACGTCATTTCGTTTCAGGTTTGACGTTTGTGACACACGGCCGGCTTTGTAAAACATGTGCTTTCAGAGCTATCGGAGTGAAAATAGACATAAGTAAAGCCTATTTATTTGACATTCATATGGTCATGATTTCTATAGGACAATTTCAACCAATTTTGACAATAATCGAGTTGAACGTGAAGATAACGGTTAAGAAGTGAAAGAAAAATGTGATAAAATAACGCTACCCGTATAAGAACCATCTGCTTCCTTAATATCAACGATGATATGTACATGTAAGTTATAAAGCACATATCAATTAAGTACATAGAATAACACGCATATATTAAAATAATCAGTATTTTTTTTATTTGATTGAAGTCCGAGAATGAAAGCGCGCTCAGATTATAAGTTACATTGTATAATGACGTGATGTCATTTGCCATTTAGTAATACATTGACATTGGTGTTGTTACCCTCAGAGTTATAACACTGTTCATGCATTCCAATAAATAAATTTGAAAAATCACATATAAGATTGAATTTCGCTCATTACATTTTCCACACAGGCTAAAATGTCTAAATGTTCTCCTCCTTCAACTGTAATTTGTAATTGTGCAACCTGCTGTCCGTCAAACTGTATACAGCTGACACAGCATACACAATGGTTACTTTACCCCCATCCTCGATATTCCAGGGGTAAGGCTCACTTACGCTCTCTGTGCCCCTGGAATTTGTCATGACAAAATCGAAGGCTCAGTGTGCGTCACCTTGTAGATGAGACGAGAAGACTAGTTTTTACTTTGATGTACATTAAAAGAATTGCTCGGTCGTGTAACAGTAAAATTGACTGGCTTTGTAGTTGGGTGTCACATCTCTGTACTCCATTTTGTACATTGCAATGTATCTGAGGAAACCAATTAACTTGAAATTTGTAATCTTCAAATGCCCAGGTATCGGCCTAGCGATTGGTCAGATTTTGTTTCTACCCGAGACCGATCAAATTGCTCGTGCCTTCAATTTTGCTTTGACATATTCCAGGGGTACAGAGAGCGTAAGTGAACGTAACCCCTGGAGTATTGAGGATGCTTTGTCCTCACTAGGTCAAAATATAGGCCTTCTACCACCTCCCACCCGATCTGGAAAGAGTTTCCCAGTCATTTTCAATACGTTCATCAGATAGTAATCACTAAGCTATGATGTGCTAGTGTTTTGAACAACTAAAAACATTACTCAAAAGTTACATGTGGGTTTCCTGTATTTTTTGCAACTTTCAACAAGAGGCCCAGAGGGCCTGTATCGCTCACCTGGATACCAAAGCAATCATGGCAAAATATTCTCCGAATGAGATCAAGGAAATATGCCAGACCCCGAAGCCAATCCTTGTAGCATATCTGTATTAGATTCTTCATGCCCAGCAATTTTATGTATGGTTATGGGGTGGAATCTCAACTGTGGACAGATAAACATTTTATATACAGAACTTGAAGGCAGAGACACATTTATATACATAACTTGAAGACAGATAAACATTTTATATACAGAACCTGAGGACAGATAAACATTTTATATAGAGAACCTGAGGACAGATAAACATTTATAAACAGAACTTGAGGACACATAAACATTTATATACAGATCCTGAGGACAGATAAACATTTTATATAGAGAACCTGAGGACAGATAAACATTTATAAACAGAACTTGAGGACAGATACACAATTTAAATATACAGACCTTGAGGACAGATAAACATTTTATATAGAGAACCTGAGGACAGATAAACATTTTATATAGAGAACCTGAGGACAGATAAACATTTATAAACAGAACTTGAGGACAGATAAACATTTTATATACAGAACCTGAGGACAGATAAACATTTATAAACAGAACTTGAGGACAGATACACATTTGAATTTATATACAGAACCTGAGGACAGATAAACATTTATATAAAGAACTTGAGGACAGATAAACATTTATAAACAGAACTTGAGGACAGATAAACATTTATATACAGATCCTGAGGACAGATAAACATTTTATATACAGAACCTGAGGACAGATAAACATTTTATATACAGAACCTGAGGACAGATAAACATTTTATATACAGAACTTAAGGACAGATAAACATTTATATACAGAACCTGAGGACAGATAAACATTTATAAACAGAACTTGAGGACACATAAACATTTATATACAGATCCTGAGGACAGATAAACATTTTATATACAGAACTTAAGGACAGATAAACATTTATAAACAGAACTTGAGGACAGATACACAATTTAAATATACAGACCTTGAGGACAGATAAACATTTATAAACAGAACTTGAGGACACATAAACATTTATATAAAGAACTTGAGGACAGATACACATTTGAATTTATATACAGAACGTGAGGACAGATAAACATTTTATATAGAGAACCTGAGGACAGATAAACATTTTATATAGAGAACCTGAGGACAGATAAACATTTTATATAGAGAACCTGAGGACAGATAAACATTTATATACAGAACCTGAGGACAGATAAACATTTTATATAGAGAACCTGAGGACAGATAAACATTTATAAACAGAACTTGAGGACAGATAAACATTTATATACAGAACCTGAGGACAGATAAACATTTTATATAGAGAACCTGAGGACAGATAAACATTTATAAACAGAACTTGAGGACAGATAAACATTTTATATAGAGAACCTGAGGACAGATAAACATTTTATATAGAGAACCTGAGGACAGATAAACATTTATAAACAGAACTTGAGGACAGATACACAATTTAAATATACAGACCTTGAGGACAGATAAACATTTATAAACAGAACTTGAGGACAGATAAACATTTATATAAAGAACTTGAGGACAGATACACATTTATATATAGAACTTGAGGACAGATACACATTCAACAAGTCGTGATTATTTATCATTAGTGAAAATGCATAATAGCATAGAAATTACACATGTCAAGCTTTAGAGTAATTGTTTGCTTCTGGCTTTTATCAAATTTGCACCTACCACAGAAGGAATTTCCACATCATATTACAATGAGTTTATTAATCTTATTTATAGCAGTGTCTTTGTAAATGTTTTATTTCTCTTTAAAACAAGAGACCCAGTAGGCCTGTATTGCTCACCTGGAATTTATGCCCAGCAATGGTATACATGGCTATGGGTTGACGATCTCAACCATTATAGCCCAGAAATTAAGTCTCTAGGGTTGGGCCAGACCCATGGGTCAATACTGATATTACGACTGTGTCAGTCTATTGATGCCCAGCAATGATATATAGGGACCATGGAACCAAATCAAAAATAGATTGTGGGTTTTTCCCCTTTTGGGCAGAAGATTTAATAGGAAGGTGAATGCCTCGGGGCCTGCTGGTTGGATATTTAGGTGACAGAAGTTTCAAAAGTTTTATGTTAGGGTTGAGCAATATATATAGAAGTAATATGCATAAAAAAAATATCAAAATTTTTCAAGTCTGCTTTTGTCTGGGTGAGTTTATTAAGTGGGCAATTTGTTGTAAATTTTGATGCCAAATTCAATACAAGATGGCGGCCCCCATATAAAAAAAAGTTCAAATGGGCAGAATTTTTAAATATTTCATTTACAGTTGTGTGAGATGATATTCTTCAAAATGAGGGCAGGTAAACCAGTGTGGATAACCCCATTTAACCAGGACAGTGGTAAACGTTAACACTATCGTCTATGGAAAATCATTTGGTTCTGCGGTCCCTATATGGTTATGGGTTTAGTTTAGTTTAAGCAAATTTTATTGCATATTACAACAAAAGGGTTAGGCGCATTAAGTTATCACAACTTATTTATGCCTTTTCCTGATTGAATTATAACTAATGCATGATAACGCAATAGTCCTGTTGTAATTTTAATTGACAAATTTTATGAAAGGGAAGGTAAAAGAGTATGGCCGGACATGGAAGTAGGAGGTAAAATATTTAAGTAAATGGTTTTAATATAAAACTGTACACATGTATAGATACTGATTAACGATAGGAGTATGCCTCTGGCCGGGCTTTTCACTCAGCACTGTTCACATAGAAAATATGGTCATGGGGTGGTGTTCTCAACCGTTTCAAAGTTATGGCCCAGAAATAACGTCTCTCGACCACCTTTTAAGATACTTGAATACGCTGTGATTGTAAATTTATTTATCAATCAACATTATGATAACAGGAATTCAAGATTTTCTTCATTTTATGATGATCAAAGAGTATGGCAGACTATGTCAAAACGACAAATACGGTACACATGGAGCTTTTTTTATTTTATTTCTTTTCTTAAAACCGATGGCTACATGTTTTCATTGTTCAACTCTTTTATATCTTATTAAATTTTGTCATCTTTATGAAACTTCTTTGTTTTACTTGTATCATCTACTCTCCCCGATATATGCAGTGCTCGTACTGTCTGTCATCCCACATGATAAAAAAATGGATATGTCGGTCGAACCTTGTCAAATACCATGTATTCCTCGAACTATTGATCTGGACCCCACAAGTTCGTGTTAGCGAGGTTTCAAAGTTATGGCCCAGGAATTAACTCTCTAGGGGTAGAGCCAGACCCCAGGATCAATCCCAATATCATAATTGTGTCTGTCTTTTGATGTCCAGCAATGTTATATATGGTTATGGGATGGGGATCTCAACTCTTTCAAAGTGATGACTCAGGAATCAAGTCTCTAGGGGTGGAGCCAGACCCCAGAGTCAATTCTTATATTATGATTTTGTTTATCATTTGACGCCCAGCAATGGTTTCTATGGTTATGGGGTGGAATCTCAACTGTTTAAAAGTTATAGCTAAGGTGAGTTGGGGCCAGCACTCAGGGTCAAGGAATTAAATTCCTGGAGTTGGGACCAGTCCCCAGGGGGTGGGGTCAGCCCTCAGGGTCAAGGAATTAAATCCTTGGAGTTGGGGCCAGCCCTCAGGGTACATTCTTATACATATATCATGATTGTGTTTGCTTCCTGATGCTCAGCTATTATATACATGGTTAAAGGGTGGGGATCTTGATAATATCAAAGTTAGAATTTATTTAGCCCTGCCCCTCAGCCTCCTTGGGGGTAAGTCCCTCCATTTGTACAAATTGTGAATTCTCACCACCTAGGGATGCTTCCAACCAAATATGGTTGATATCCTTCAATTAGCTTTGAGAAAAAGTTGCTTAAACAATATGGCCAAATAACCCCTTTTTGGCCCTGCCCCTTTGGTGGTAAGACCCTCCATTTGTACACTTTTGAATCCCCACCAACTAGGGATGCTTCTAGTCCAATTTGGTTAAATTTCAATCAGCGTTTTAGATGAAGAACTTGTTTGAAGAAACTGTTGACAGACGGACGGATACTGCAGTGTGGCATAAAAATTCATCATCTTTCAAAGTGGTTAAATATGGGCATCTAGGTTTTACAGAGGCAATAGTTTTGGAAATGGATGAGTTTGACAGATCTGAGGTTAAATATGGGCAATCATAAATTTAGCTATTATTAGGAATTTGTTGGCCTCTGAAATCTTTCTCATGACATTCTGAAGTGATACCACTGATAAATAGAAGTTTAGAAGGTAACATGGCTAACTTACCCTTTTATGTGTGCAAAACCTGTCACCATTGTAGGTCCAAATTGTTTCTTGAATTCGTGGAATCGACTTCCATCTACTAGTCTAGCTATAACCTATGGAGAAACAAATATAGTCAATAGCATTTATCTAAGATTGAACCTAGAATATGCATTTAAAGTATCATTTATATGAAAAATGTGATTATTATTGAAAAGGAAAAATACGATGTTTCCACGGACATAGCAACTAAACCATTCACAATATCGGATACCGAGAGTTATGTGCAAGGCTGCTAGCATACCTGAATGAAACAAAACAACATATCAAAGCTATATTCATGCAATAAAAAACAGTTTCCTCATACATAGCTACAGTTTATGGCAATGGTTAACTAAACAGGGAACCTTACTGACCTACATCTACGTTGTATGTAATAGTTACCTAAATCTAGTCAATATTTACTACAGACCTGTTCTACAACCATACACTAATAGCTGTATAGGAGCTGGCACCAGTTGGTTCATTTAATCATACATTTGTAAAATGGTTTTACTTTCACACTTTTCATTAATGTTTACATAAGGTCGTTTTTTAATCAAAAGGCTTGAGGCATTATGGGGCATTGTTGGCCTCATATAAAGTAAACATTTCAACTTGAATTTATTTATGAATTTCTGTTATAAACATAAGATTGGTTAATTGGGGCTATCTTTCTTGGTGCAAATTTTGTCCAGTGCACATGTGTAGATGCCCTACCATAGCAAAAAAATTGTGTTGCTATGCAGAAATAGCCAAAATATGGTGTTTTGGGACAGTTAGCATGCAGAAATGAAAGCCTCCGCATGTGACAAACAAAAATTCCTTTCTAGAAATGAACACTGCATGGTGTGGCAATGTTTGAGCATGTCAAATATTTATTTGTTTGTTGCATGCAGAGACTTTCAAATATTGAAGAGTTTTTAGTTAATTTCCTTCAAAATGGCCAATTTTCAACCAAATAGCGCACAACAGACGATTTTCACGCAATTCATTATGAAAAATGTGGGTTTATGTCTCTCTTTGTTATGCCATATCTCCTAAACGAGTTGTTTGATGAATTTGAAATTTCATATTTGCGTAGTTGATTTATTCAAGATTATGAATAAAACAAGAAATTTTAAATCCCCGATGGGCCGGAAATGACCCTTAAAGCCCCTAGTCCTTTCACTACTGTATGATTGTATGATTGATATAGGTATGCCTTATAGATGTTGATAACATTGTCCTTGGCCACCAGTGCCCTGAGGTGGTCGCTGCTGTAGAGAGGCTCCTCCCAGTCCTGATGGACAGGTAGCTTGTCCTCCAGGTTCAACGTGGCCACCATGTCTCTCCCTGTACTCAATGCTTCCTCTTCATTCTCCGCAAAGTAGTCAGTGCATCCGCTTACACTACAAAAACACAGCTGAGACAGTGAAATATCCCCGTAGCCAGCAGTTTACAAATACACAGCTGAGACAGTGAAATATCCCTGTAGTCAGCAGTTTACAAAAACACAGCTGAGACAGTGAAATATCCCTGTAGCCAGCAGTTTACAAAAACACAGCTGAGACAGTGAAATATCCCCGTTGCCAGCAGTTTACAAAAACACAGCTGAGACAGTAAAATATCCCCGTAGTCAGCAGTGTACAAAAACACAGCTGAGACAGTGAAATATCCCGTAGCCAGCAGTTTACAAAAACACAGCTGAGACAGTGAAATATCCCTGTAGCCAGCCGTTTACAAAAACACAGCTGAGACAGTGAAATATCACTGTAGCCAGCAGTTTACAAAAACACAGCTGAGACAGTAAAATATCCCCGTAGTCAGCAGTGTACAAAAACACAGCTGAGACAGTGAAATATCCCCGTAGTCAGCAGTTTACAAAAACACAGCTGAGACAGTGAAATATCACTGTAGCCAGCAGTTTACAAAAACACAGCTGAGACAGTGAAATATCACTGTAGCCAGCAGTTTACAAAAACACAGCTGAGACAGTAAAATATCCCCGTAGTCAGCAGTGTACAAAAACACAGCTGAGACAGTGAAATATCCCTGTAGTCAGCAGTTTACAAAAACACAGCTGAGACAGTGAAATATCACTGTAGCCAGCAGTTTACAAAAACACAGCTGAGACAGTAAAATATCCCCGTAGTCAGCAGTGTACAAAAACACAGCTGAGACAGTGAAATATCCCCGTAGACAGCAGTTTACAAAAACACAGCTGAGACAGTGAAATATCACTGTAGCCAGCAGTTTACAAAAACACAGCTGAGACAGTAAAATATCCCCGTAGTCAGCAGTGTACAAAAACACAGCTGAGACAGTGAAATATCCCGTAGCCAGCAGTTTACAAAAACACAGCTGAGACAGTGAAATATCCCTGTAGTCAGCAGTTTACAAAAACACAGCTGAGACAGTGAAATATCACTGTAGCCAGCAGTTTACAAAAACACAGCTGAGACAGTAAAATATCCCCGTAGTCAGCAGTGTACAAAAACACAGCTGAGACAGTGAAATATCCCTGTAGTCAGCAGTTTACAAAAACACAGCTGAGACAGTGAAATATCCCCGTAGTCAGCAGTGTACATGACACTTGCTTATACAAATTTAGGTAAAAGCATAGGACTCCTTTTAATTAAATCCAAGACTTTTGTAAGGATAAAACCTAATTACTTTCCAGCATGATGCCAATCATCTTAACAGCTGGGTCAACGCAACCAATAAAGATCAGAGGGGAGGGGAGATAAATTACCCTGACATTTAGGTCAGTATTTACACAAGCTGCTTATATGTTTAATATCAGTCTACTGAGTACACGTTATACAAGATGTTACCATATGAGCATCAGTATATCTGTCAAAGAATTCCTATGCTTTAATATTTCTTATGGTGGCTCGATAATGTTACAAGCCAAATGTAACCAACCGATGTTGAGCACAACCAACCAATGTTGGGCAGACCCTAACCCTGAGCCACTATCCAGTTGTACCTTCACACCTCCAGAGTTTCCTGTACAACTACCAATGTTGAGCACACCCTAACCCTGAGCCACTATCTAGTTGTACCTTCACACCTCCGGAGTTTCCTGTACAACTACCAATGTTGAGCACACCCTAACCCTGAGCCACTATCCAGTTGTACCTTCACACCTCCGGAGTTTCCTGTACAACTACCAATGTTGAGCACACCCTAACCCTGAGCCACTATCCAGTTGTACCTTCACACCTCCGGAGTTTCCTGTACAACTACCAATGTTGAGCACACCCTAACCCTGAGCCACTATCCAGTTGTACCTTCACACCTCCGGAGTTTCCTGTACAACTACCAATGTTGAGCACACCCTAACCCTGAGCCACTATCCAGTTGTACCTTCACACCTCCGGAGTTTCCTGTACAACTACCAATGTTGAGCACACCCTAACCCTGAGCCACTATCCAGTTGTACCTTCACACCTCCGGAGTTTCCTGTACAACTACCAATGTTGAGCACACCCTAACCCTGAGCCACTATCCAGTTGTACCTTCACACCTCCGGAGTTTCCTGTACAACTACCAATGTTGAGCACACCCTAACCCTGAGCCACTATCCAGTTGTACCTTCACACCTCCGGAGTTTCCTGTACAACTACCAATGTTGAGCACACCCTAACCCTGAGCCACTATCCAGTTGTACCTTCACACCTCCGGAGTTTCCTGTACAACTACCAATGTTGAGCACACCCTAACCCTGAGCCACTATCCAGTTGTACCTTCACACCTCCGGAGTTTCCTGTACAACTACCAATGTTGAGCACACCCTAACCCTGAGCCACTATCCAGTTGTACCTTCACACCTCCGGAGTTTCCTGTACAACTACCAATGTTGAGCACACCCTAACCCTGAGCCACTATCCAGTTGTACCTTCACACCTCCGGAGTTTCCTGTACAACTACCAATGTTGAGCACACCCTAACCCTGAGCCACTATCCAGTTGTACCTTCACACCTCCGGAGTTTCCTGTACAACTACCAATGTTGAGCACACCCTAACCCTGAGCCACTATCCAGTTGTACCTTCACACCTCCGGAGTTTCCTGTACAACTACCAATGTTGAGCACACCCTAACCCTGAGCCACTATCCAGTTGTACCTTCACACTTCCGGAGTTTCCTGTACAACTACCAATGTTGAACACACCCTAACCCTGAGCCACTATCCAGTTGTGCCTTCACACCTCCGGAGTTTCCTGTACAACTGCCAATGTTGAGCACACCCTAACCATGAGCGTCTGTCTAGATTCTTTCCCCGGGGAAGAAAAGGCTAGCTGTTTTTTCCCCTGTGGAATGAATCAGCTAGTTGATTTTTTCCCCTCTAGTTAATTTTTTCTCCTGGGGAAGAAATAAGCTACCTAATTCTTCCCACTGTAGTATTGGTTTATTGGAGAAAGTATTGGCTAGCCCTTCTGTATTAGTTAAAAGGGTTAGCTAGCCAATTTTCCCCCTACTGTATTAGTTTATAGGGGATTATAGCTGATTCTTTCCCCCCTCCATATTGCTTTATAAGGGGAAATTGATTAATTAGCTAATTCGTTCCCCCATCTGCATTAGTTTGTAGGAAAACCGTATATTAGCTAGTTAACTATTTCACTGAGGGAAGAAATAAGTTTCCCTGGGGAAACAATCAGCTAGTTGTGTTTTTCCCTGGGGCAAACAGATAGCTTATTTCTTCCCGGGGGAAAAACTATCTAGTCTGAGAAAGAAACACTTGGCTGATTTTTTCCCTGCGGAAACTTTCAACAGGGGGGAAAACTGGCTGTTACACCGGTCTGGCCATGCATTTTCCTCTCCTGTTACACATATATCAAGAATGTCGAGCACACCTCTCTAATGTCCAGCACTACTCTTCTCCATTGTTCAGAATACCTCACTAATTACATTTGTCCAATATTCACCTGCAGTGTAGGGTAGCACCACCAAGTTCCTCTGTTGTGACGATCTCCCCTGTGGCTGCCTGCACAAGGGGCGGTCCTCCCAGGAATATGTAGCCCTTCCTGTGTACAATGGCTGTCTGGTCAGCCATGGTGGGAATATAGGCACCTCCCGCGGTACAGTTACCACACACAATGGCCATCTGTTAGGAAATATACACAAGCAATCAAACAATGATGAAACATGGAACAACAAACAAAAGATACAACATACATAAACATGCAAAATTATATATACTTGTACCTTTTACTTTATAAATTGGACAAGAGGCCCAATTGGCCTGCATCGCTCACCTGGTATTAATCTTGCACTTGTTACCTTAAACGTGATCTTAAACAAAGCTACAGACAAAATATCAGTATTTATGACTATACGTCAATCAAAAGAACCTTTTAAAAGATTTAAAAACATTTGACCCATGTGACCTTGAAAGTAAAAAAAAGGTCATTAAGTTGAACAAACTTTATAGCCCTTCATTTCAGCATGCAACTTGTTACTTATCACCAACCTAGACCTTTTGTTTATTGAGATTAGGTCATTTGAAGGTTTATTTATTTTGACAGAATGTGACCTTGAAAGTGGGTCAAGGTCATTTAAATGAAAACTCTTGATAGCCCTTCATCCAAGCATGCTACTGGCTGAATATCAACATTCTGGGCCTCATGGTTATTCAGAAGAAGTTGTTTAAATATTTTAAACAAATTTGACCCCTGTCAGCTTAATGAATATTAGTCAAGATCATTCATTTTAACAAAGATTGTAGCCCTTCATCCAAGTATGCTATATAACGGCCAAATATCAACATTCTGGGCCTCAGGGTTATTCAGAAGAAGTCGTTTGAAGATTTTCAACATAATTGACCCCTGTGACCTTGAATACAGTTCAAGGTCATTCATTTTAACAAATTTGGAAGCCCTTCATCCTAGCATGCTTAAAGCCAAATATCATCACCCTGGGCCTTTTGGTTATTCAGAAGAAATCGTATGAAGATTTTGAACATAGTTGATCCCTGTGATCTTGAATAAAGGTCAAGGTCATTCATTTTAACAAACTTGGTAGCCCTTCCTCCTGGTAATGCTAATGGCCAAATATCAACAATCTGGGCTTTATGGCTATTCAGAAGAAGTTGTTTAAAGATTTTAAACATATCTTAAATATATTTCAAGGTCATTCATTTGAACTTGGTAGCCCTTCATCCTAGCATACTTCTGGCCAGATATCATCATCCTGGGACTTTTTGTTATTCAAAAGAAGTTGTTTAAAGATTTTAAACATATTTGACCCCTGTGATCTTGATTATGGGTCAATGTCATCGATTTAAACAATCTGGTAGTCATTCATGCAAGCATGTTTCTGGTTAAATATCTTCAACCCTAGACCTTTTGGTTATTCAGAAGAAGTTGTTCCAATTATTATTTTTAGACAATTGACCCCTGTGACATTGAATATGATTGAAGGTCATTCATTTGAACTAACTTGGTAACCCTTCACCCTAGCATGCTACTGGCCAAACATCATCACCCTGGGCATTTTGGCTATTCAGAAGAAGTTGTTTGAAGTTTTTAACAAATTTGACCCCTGTGACCTTTAATATGGGTGGAGGTCATTTATTTAAACAAACTTGGTAGCCCTTTTGAGTTCATCCAAGTTTGCTTCTGACAAAATATTATCACCCTAGCCCTTCTGGTTATTAAGAAGAAGTTGTTTAAAATAAAATCTTGACATTTGACGAAAGACGGACCCTGTACCATGGCATAAGCTCACCTGGCCCTTCGTGTTTACCTTGTACATTAGATACTGCATGTTCTTTTAGGATAGGATCTTGTATTTCTGAACATTTTCCTGAACAAATTCTGAAATACTACATACCTGTGGTATACCCATTGAAGACATCACTGCCTCATTGCAAAATGTTTTCCCACCAGGGTTGAAAATATCAGCCTGGAAAAAAATCTTACAATATAAGTCAAATTTATATACATGTATGTATATGAGTAACAATTGCAAGTGTATTTCATCCCTTTCCATTACACTGTATAAACTAAATCAATGACAATGCTACAAGCTAATTGGTAGCATTGCTAACCATTTTATCATTTTAGCTGAAAATAAAATTTTAAACTAAAAGAAGGAGTAGACATAAATGAGCACATTGGTTCATGTTTCCTTTATATGATACTAAGAGAACTTGATCATCACTCAGTTCTCATTACAAGAAAATCATTTAAAACACAATTTTATATTTTGTCAGCATTTGTGAATTCTGTAGAATAATGGTTTGAATTATTACTTACCTGGAGGGGAAGGAAACCTCCTCCAGACTCTACAATATAGACAGTTGGTAGTCTGTTCTGCTCAGCTATTTCCTGAGCCCGAAGTTGTTTCTTTAGGGTAACGGGGTAAACAGTACCACCCTTCACAGTGGCATCGTTAGCAACAATCATGCACAGTTTTCCTTGTACTCTACCAATTCCTGCAAACCACCATAAACTGTAGGTCATGGCACAATTGTACTTGTAAATTTACACATACATGTTTAATATATATATAACTGAAAGTCAATAAAGGCAACATGGATACCGTAATGCCTTTTAGAACCTCAATACTTCAACTGATGCTGTACATGTCCAGCAGGACTGAGTGTCAAAACTCACAGATGTCAATCAACAAGCTGCTGTCCAATACAACATGTGCTGCAGCTAAATGGAATTATACCCATCATTGATTGGTTGATCAACAATCAATAAAACTAATAATGCATTAGAATGCCATTAATGATATACAGCAGTGCATATGTATTTTTGTTCTCTCATTCACAATAGGCACCTGTGACCAGAGGGCCTGTTTTATACCAATATGCACCTAATAAATGTCATTACATAGCGTATGTTATGACATTAATTAGGTGCATATTGGTCATAGGTCACAGACTGAGACTGCAGGTTTGCAGTAAACTCACACTGTTAATTAATTTAAATTAAAATCACCTTAAAAACTGTCTATATGGACCTAGCAGCAAGCAAGATTACAGTGTTAAATGTGCTGTGTACAAGCTTCATTTGGTGAATGGAAATTGGTTTTGATTGAAAATTAGTTTGCCAGCAGGAAGACTAGAATCAGCAAACGAAGTCAAATCAGACATAACAAGTATGAATATAAACAAACCAGTAATATCTGAGTCTGAAAGTCATATATGTTTACCAGCGATCATTCCAGCTTTAGGTACATTTCCATATTCCATTGCCAGTCCCCCCATGACGGAGAGTTCGAGGAAATCGTTGGGGTCGTCTAGGAAGAGAGCGAGGCGGTCTCTAACAAGCAGCTTTTTTTGCTTCACAACATGTCGGTTTATCGCTTTTTCTCCCCCCCCTGCATGTGCAATAGCAACGCACTGCTGGTATCGATCAAACAAATGTTTGGAAAATGATAAGTTTTCTAAATTAGCATTGCTATCACTATCGGATATAACAGGGAATGTGGATTTTCTGGACAGGGAAATTGACAGCTGTCTCACAGCGATATCCCATGACAGTTCATATTGTGTCCTGCGAGATCTCTCTAAGATATTTTTCATTTGAGACCATGATTTCGTTAGTGATAACAACGATCCTCTGTATCTCATTCTCGTTGCAGAAGTCAGTTTTCTTGTGAGGGCGTTGAACAGGCCTAGATCATTTGCGTAAGAACTTAGCAGTTAACTTGCTTGAACTTCGCTCCCTTCGGTGTGAAAAAGATGCTTTGTGTATTTTATTAATGAAAAACAAACGTTTTCATCACCCCGATTTCTTGCCGGTGCTCGTTTTATCTGAGTCATATCAACGCTTGAACAGAACATACTATTAGAGTGTAAAAACAAGAGGAGGAATAATAACAAAACATATCGAAATGTTCAAGAAGCTGTGAAAAGTTGCTGTGTAACCTCCTTCTATTCAGTCGGGTTTGTAATAACAGCTATTCACATAATACTGATGACTACCACCTGCCTTTGTGTGATCAGAGCCCCTTTCGCGTATCCGGTTTGTCTATTTTGAAACAGGTTGGGCACAACGGCGCATGTTGGTCATCCTGCATTTGGGTAACAGTTAGTGAGTTACCCTTTTGAGTAACAATTTTATTACTGAAATGTGGAATAAAGTAAAATAAAGACACACATTTTTTTTTTTACACATTATGACCAAAAAAGGGCGTCATTCTTTCAACATAATCAAATAAAAAGTACAATGAGATAAAATTGTGGACAAATATATGTAAGTTCAGTTGTCTAAATATTTGTGAATATGACAGTGTATCGCCTCCATTGCTTATAGTGTGTTGTAGAGTAGCTAAATATAGCACGCATAAAAAGTATCAATATGCAAAAAGTTATCTGTCACATTTGCACTGGATGGTCCCATTCACGGCCATTGCCTACAGTGGTCACTGAAGTCAATAGATCAGAACAAAGTTAGTGATAATGGTTTGTCCTTTTCACAAAACTATTATGTTTGTATTTTTCATTAACTATTATGTTGTCAGTAGTATAACTGTGCTTTATTATATGTGAATTGCCTTTTGAGCAAAAATGAAGGATGATAAGTTAAAGTAATTAGGTCATCTAGCCTACATAAACTTGCAAAAACTGATGATGATGTGTACAGACCTGAATAGTGAATATCTCTATTATGATGCAGAAGATGTGTGCACAGTATTCTCCTGCCAAATAGACACTTCTTCCACCACAGAAAAAACTTATCAAAATATTATTTTGCCTCCCCACCTGATTTATCAATGTTTTAATGCTCTTGTAGTGTTCATTTTGTTGGTACAATAATGTAATACAATTTTACTGCAGTATACCTGGATTTTTTTATCCGGTACACGTCCAACTTTTGCCCTACTCTTAGTCTGTTTAAGTTTTGATTTCACTGTTCACATTAGATTGCCACGTTTATTATGTTGTTTACTATATCAGGTTCACTATAATGAAACATTATAACCCTCATTACAAAAGGCGAAAAGTGTGAAAGTTCAAATTTGGCAAAATAGGATTGCTTTAAAGGATTTTTTGACTATATTGAATAAATTATCCATATTTTAGCAAAATGAAAGGTTGTCCAAATGATTGTTATTGATTTTAAAGGAGTTTATTTTAATTTGATGCATATTTATTTATCACAAATTAAGGTCTGGGATTACAGTGCAAAGATGGCAGGAAGTGACGTTCGGGACATCCTGGATATTGATAATGCTCCAGAGCAAGCCTTTATCACCAAGGATGCCCTCATGAACAAGAATCAGGTAAACCCCTACACAAAGATGTCCTCATGAACAAGAATCAGGTAAACCCCTAAACAAAGATGCCCTCATGAACAAGAATCAGGTAAACCCCTACCCAAAGATGGCCTCATGAACAAGAATCAGGTAAACCCCTACACAAAGATGCCCTCATGGACAAGAATCATTTAAACCCCTACACAAAGATGTCCTCATGAACAAGAATCAGGTAAACCCCTACACAAAGATGTCCTCATGAACAAGACTAGGTAGAACCGTTGTACAAAGTAGGTAGAACCATTGTACATAGATGCTCGTATAAACTTAAAGCTATAAAGGTTAGGTAAAATACAAAAATAACCTCATGAACAAAACACACAAAGATGCCTTCATGAACTCTGGTAAAACCTAAAGAAGGAGATCATGAACAAGACCTTTATTAAAAACCAATGTACTCTTATCCTAATCGGTAGTGTACAACATTTCATAAAGATCAAAGCCTAAACTAATTTTTCCTTTTTGTGAAAAGGAAGAGAAGTGTTGGGGTCATGAAATGTTTTTAGGCTCTAATTCTAAAATTCTCTGCAAAAACTGTTTTGATGGTTAATATTTCTTTTTTGTCACTGTGCATAGAAAAAGGTAACAAGGAAGTCCATGGATGTCTCCTTCAAGCGTCCAGAGGGAATGCATCGGGAGGTGTGGGGCCTCCTGTGGACAGATAACAAGTAAGTGGCACAAACATAATCCAACTCTTCTCTCTGACAAATGTTTAAAGGCTATTAACAATGTGCTTTATGAATTTAAATAGCAGGTAGTATTAAATGCAACGTTGTACGTGTATTATATTTTACAATATACATGTTTTTTTAATGAAACCAAAATACTCTTTAATACCATAGTACATCACTAGCCAATTGACTTTTTAGGTCACCAGTGAGATAAAGCTCAAGAGTACTATTCCGATCACCTTTTGTTGTTCGACATCTGTAAATTGTTTTGAATTTTTGACTTCTTCTTAAGAACAAGTGGATGGAATTTCTTCATGCTTGGTCAGAATAATCCTTGGTGGAAAAGGGTAGGGAAATAATGCTTTTTTGGTATATTTTGTCCATTTTCAGCAGAAAATTATTCAAACTTAGTCAGAATCATCCTTGATGAAAGAGAGTATCAAAGTGTAAAATTTGGATTCCTGCCCCAACCCCAGGGGCCAGGATGGGGCCCAAAAGGGAAAATTAAGCAATTTATAAAAAATCTTCTTCTCCAGACTCTTTCTCAAATACTCTTCATAGACAGAATGGTCCTTAGGTGCTTTAATTAAATTTCATTACCCCTGGGTTATGGGAGGGTGTAAAATTTAAAATGAACTCATTTATCTCGGGGAAATAACACTTTTGGGTATGTTTTGTCGCTTCTCATCAAGAAATTATTAGCTCACCTGGTCCAAGGTACTAGTAGAACTATGCACTGGACATTGGGGCCAAAGGATTAAAAATTGTATTAATGGTGGGATTGACACCCCAGGAGGCTGAGGGGCCCAAAAGGGTAATTTGGCTATTTTGCTTTAAGCGACCTTCTCTAGAACTCAGCAATAGATATCAACTATATTTTATTGGAAGCATCCCTTCATGGTGGGGATTAACAATTGTATGAATGGACAGGCTGGCCCTCTAGGCTAAGGGGTGGGGCCATAAATTGTTTCCAACCCTTTTAAAAGGAGTTATGCCCCTTTTTTAGGTCACCTGAGACAAAGTCTCAAGTGACCTATTGCGATCGCCTTTTGTCCGTCATCGTCCGTCGTGCGTCCGTAAACAATTTACATTTTCGACTTCTTTTCCAAAACCCCCGAACCAATTTCAATGAAATTTTGCAGGGACTTTCCATGGACAAAGGTCAACAAACACAGTTGCCGGTTTAGTCCTACGCCCCCAGGGGCCTGAGGGGCGGGGCCAAAAGGGGTCAAATTGACTAAAATTTCAAAAATCTTCTTCTCCAAAACCACTGAACCAATTGCAATGAAATTTTGCAGGGACCTTCCATGGACAAAGGTCAACAAAAATAGTTGCCGGTTTAGTCGTACGCCCCCAGGGGCCTGAGGGGCGGGGCCAAAAAGGGTCGAATTGACTAAAATTTCAAAAAATTTCTTCTCAAGACCCAGATATGGTAGAATCAAATACTCTTCATAGATGGAAGGGTCTTAAGGTGCTTTACCGAAATTGTGAATTTCTTGACCCTGGGGTCTCACGTTTCCCCCTGGGGAGGGGGTAAACTTTACTATAGTTTATATAGGGAAATCACATTTTGGACCAACATTTGTTTAATTTCCATTGGAAGTAATTCAATTTGGGTTAGCATTATCAGTATTAGGTAGCAGTTTGATAGTATGCACCTATGAGCCCTGACTGACCCCCAGGGGCTGATGGGTGGGGCCAAAAAGGGTTGAATTGACTGAAATTTCAAAAATCTTCTTCTCAAGACCCAGATATGGTAGAATCAAATACTCTTCATAGATGGAAGGGTCTTAAGGTGCTTTACCGAAATTGTGAATTTCTTGACCCTGGGGTCTCACGTTTCCCCCTGGGGAGGGGGTAAACTTTACTATAGTTTATATAGGGAAATCACATTTTGGACCAACATTTGTTTAATTTCCATTGGAAGTAATTCAATTTGGGTTAGCATTATCAGTATTAGGTAGCAGTTTGATAGTATGCACCTATGAGCCCTGACTGACCCCCAGGGGCTGATGGGTGGGGCCAAAAAGGGTTGAATTGACTGAAATTTCAAAAATCTTCTTCTCAAGACCCAGATATGGTAGAATCAAATACTCTTCATAGATGGAAGGGTCTTAAGGTTTATGACCCTAGGGTCTCACGTTTACCCCCTGGGGAAGGGGGGGGGGGGGGCAAAATTTATTATGGTTTATAATGGCAAATGATACTTTGAATATTACATGTTAATAACTTGATTGGAATTATAACCTTGAGTTGACAGTTTGATACTTTGAAAATTTTGAGCCAGCCCTACCCCCAAGGGCTGTAGGGTGGGGCTCAAGGGAGTCAGTGTGCTAAAATTTCTTCATTTTCCTTGTTTAGAATCAGAGGTGCTAGTTTCAAATCCTTTTTAGTCTGAAATCTGTATGCTTGATATTGAATAAGGTGGTTTTATTGTTTTTTGTCACTTTGAATAATATTTCTGTTCATGTTAAAAACGAAATCAACTCTCTGTATAAATATATCAGGTGACCGTTAAGGCCCATGGGCCTCTTGTTTAATAAACTTTTGTCTGACTCATAAACTACTTGGACAATTTCAATGAAAGTTTACAGATATGGTAATAACCCCCTGCTATCGTACATCAGGCTAGTATTTTTTTTCATTTCAACCCTTTTCGATGGAGGTATGGCCCTTTGTTAAATAAAATCATTGCTGGTGGGAGACTATGGATTGCTTTGCAATGCTTTGCCTTTGTAAGCATTTAGCTTACAGTTCTGGATTATATAGGAGCAGGGGGTATTAGTTAGCCTTTGACTTACAGTTCTGGTTTAAAAGTGATAGGGGTTGACATAAGATTTGTCTCATGATGTGGCTTGATATGTTGTGTTGTCAGAGATTCCCCACCAATCATCCCAACGGACACCAACCAAGGCTACAAACAGATGAAGGCAAAGATCGGGAGCAGTAAGGTGCGGCCCTGGAAATGGATGCCATTCTCTAACCCAGCCAGAAAGGTAAACTGTAAATCATATCTCTTGTATATATGCAAATCTTTCAGACTTCGACAAATTTTAAAGTATTATCAGCTTATTAATTTCATCACTTGTGCTATAATATTTGCACCCAATTTTTAGCCAAATGAGCTTATGCTATGGTGTAGCAATCTGTTGTCTGTCCGGCGTCAACTCTTTACTTTTAACTACTTATTCTGAACAACCAAGAGGCCTAGGGTGATGATATTTGGCCAGTAGATTGTCGGGTTGAAGGGCTACCATATCTGTCAAAGGAATTACCTTCAACCAAATTCAAGGTCACATGGGTCAGTTATCTAACAGAACATCTAATAATAAGAATTATAATAATTTGAGGTTCTTATATACCGCTTTATCACAACCTAGTTTGTAGGTCGTCTCAAAGCTGTTAACAAGGGTAAAAAGATGCAATTTGTATAAAATTGGATTGTGTCCCTCCTTTTCGGCAGAAGGGTGTATGTGAGGCCCACATGGGGAAAGAGGGAATAGATCATGCAGTATATTGATAGATTTGATGTTAGTTTGATAGACTACAGAAAAAGTCTGTTCTAAGTCAAACTGTTAAAGTTATAATTGTTGAGTAACAAAATGATTTCATTTACGTTTTTCCAGGATGGTGCAATATTTTACCACTGGAGGCGAGAAGCTGACGAAGGCAAGGATTACCCATTTGCCAGATTCAACAAGGCAAGTTTTAATTCATTTGAAACAGATGTTACCACAAACTTAACATGAGTTTGTTTTGATGCTACACACTTGTAAATATGTGGCTGAAATATCCAATAAAGTAAACAAGTCTTCCATTTTCTTTTGACATGTTTTTTTAGCATGTGTACCCGAGTATGTACCCCAGTATGTACCTCAGTATGTACCCCAGTATGAACCTCAGTATGTACCCCAGTATGTACCACAGTATGTACCCCAGTATGTACCCCAGTATGTACCCAAGTATGTACCTCAGTTTGTACCCCAGTATGTACCCCAGTATGTACCCCAGTATGTACCCTAGTATGTACCCCAGTATGTACCCCAGTATGAACCCCAGTATGTACCTCAGTATGTACCTCAGTATGTACCCCCAGTATGTACCCCAGTATGTACCCCAGTAGTGACCCCAGTATGAACCTCAGTATGTACCCCAGTATGTACCACAGTATGTACCCTAGTATGTACATCAGTATGTACCCCAGTATGATTTTTTTTTATTTCTTATTGCAGTACCCCAGTATGTACCCCAGTAGTGACCCCAGTATGTACCTCAGTATGTACCCCAGTATGTACCTCAGTATGTACCCCAGTATGTACCCCAGTATGTATCTGTAAAGATAAAACGTGGGGGGCAATCCATAACAAATGTTTTAAAGTTTAATATAATATTTCAGATCATATTCATCCTATTGTCTGTTAATAAAGAGGTTTTTGAACACACTGACCACCTGGTCTATAATTGGATGTAACTGTAACGGTACCTACGCTATATTTATAAAGTGTGGTAAACTACCAGGCAGTAGGTATGTCATAGTGTAGTTCTGTAAAAATAAGCATGAATTATTTTGAGACCATAATTGAAAGGAGGGGAAAACAATTTCCATCAAAAAAGGTGTGTTTATGAAGTTTGAGTGAGTTGTGGTTTTAATTTGTAGGCTGTTGATGTTCCTGTGTACTCTGATCTGGAGTATCAACAGCACCTTCATGATGAGAGCTGGACACGCCAGGAAACTGACCACCTGTTTGACCTTTGTAAAAGATTTGATCTTAGATTTTTGATTATACATGACCGATGGGATAGAGAGAAGTTCCTTAATAGAAGTGTAGAGGACCTGAAGGAAAGATATTACAGCATCTGTAACAATCTCACCAAGGTATATATTATCTCACACATGTACACACAAAACAATCTCTCAAAGTACATAATATCACACACATGTACACACAAAACAATCTCACAAAGTACATGATATCACACACATGTACACACAAAACAATCTCACAAAGTACATGATATCACACACATGTACACCCAAAACAATCTCACAAAGTACATAATATCACACACATGTACACACAAAACAATCTCACAAAGTACATAATATCACACACATGTACACACAAAACAATCTCACAAAGTACATAATATCACACACATGTACACACAAAACAATCTCACAAAGTACATAATATCACACACATGTACACACAAAACAATCTCACAAAGTACATAATATCACACACATGTACACACAAAACAATCTCACAAAGTACATAATATCACACACATGTACACACAAAACAATCTCACAAAGTACATGATATCACACACATGTACACACAAAACAATCTCACAAAGTACAAGATGTCACACACATGTACACACAAAACAATCTCACAAAGTACAAGATATCACACAAATGTACACACAAAACAATCACACAAAGTACATAATATCACACACATGTACACACAAAACAATCTCACAAAGTACATAATATCACTCACATGTACACACAAAACAATCTCACAAAGTACATGATATCACACACATGTACACACAAAACAATTTCACAAAGTACATTATATCACACACATGTACACACAAAACAATCTCACCAAGGTATATATTATCTCACACAGGTACACACATAACAATCTCACCAATGTATATATTATCTCACACATGTACACATAACTATCTCACATAGGTATATATTATCTCACATAGGTACACACAAAACAATCTCACAAAATATACACAGAGGTTACAATGTCAAATGTACATATACCAATTTCAGAGGTACACAGATTATAATGTCAAAATGTACCTATAACAATCTCACAGAGGTACACAGATTATAATGTCAAAATGTACCTATAACAATCTCACAGAGGTACACAGATTATAATGTCAAAATGTACCTATAACAATCTCACAGAGGTACACAGATTATAATGTCAAAATGTACCTATAACAATCTCACAGAGGTACACAGATTATAATGTCAAAATGTACCTATAACAATCTCACAGAGGTACACAGATTATAATGTCAAAATGTACCTATAACAATCTCACAGAGGTACACAGATTATAATGTCAAAATGTACCTATAACAATCTCACAGAGGTACACAGATTATAATGTCAAAATGTACCTATAACAATCTCACAGAGGTACACAGATTATAATGTCAAAATGTACCTATAACAATCTCACAGAGGTACACAGATTATAATGTCAAAATGTACCTATAACAATCTCACAGAGGTACACAGATTATAATGTCAAAATGTACCTATAACAATCTCACAGAGGTACACAGATTATAATGTCAAAATGTACCTATAACAATCTCACAGAGGTACACAGATTATAATGTCAAAATGTACCTATAACAATCTCACAGAGGTACACAGATTATAATGTCAAAATGTACCTATAACAATCTCACAGAGGTACACAGATTATAATGTCAAAATGTACCTATAACAATCTCACAGAGGTACACAGATTATAATGTCAAAATGTACCTATAACAATCTCACAGAGGTACACAGATTATAATGTCAAAATGTACCTATAACAATCTCACAGAGGTACACAGATTATAATGTCAAAATGTACCTATAACAATCTCACAGAGGTACACAGATTATAATGTCAAAATGTACCTATAACAATCTCACAGAGGTACACAGATTATAATGTCAAAATGTACCTATAACAATCTCACAGAGGTACACAGATTATAATGTCAAAATGTACCTATAACAATCTCACAGAGGTACACAGATTATAATGTCAAAATGTACCTATAACAATCTCACAGAGGTACACAGATTATAATGTCAAAATGTACCTATAACAATCTCACAGAGGTACACAGATTATAATGTCAAAATGTACCTATAACAATCTCACAGAGGTACACAGATTATAATGTCAAAATGTACCTATAACAATCTCACAGAGGTACACAGATTATAATGTCAAAATGTACCTATAACAATCTCACAGAGGTACACAGATTATAATGTCAAAATGTACCTATAACAATCTCACAGAGGTACACAGATTATAATGTCAAAATGTACCTATAACAATCTCACAGAGGTACACAGATTATAATGTCAAAATGTACCTATAACAATCTCACAGAGGTACACAGATTATAATGTCAAAATGTACCTATAACAATCTCACAGAGGTACACAGATTATAATGTCAAAATGTACCTATAACAATCTCACAGAGGTACACAGATTATAATGTCAAAATGTACCTATAACAATCTCACAGAGGTACACAGATTATAATGTCAAAATGTACCTATAACAATCTCACAGAGGTACACAGATTATAATGTCAAAATGTACCTATAACAATCTCACAGAGGTACACAGATTATAATGTCAAAATGTACCTATAACAATCTCACAGAGGTACACAGATTATAATGTCAAAATGTACCTATAACAATCTCACAGAGGTACACAGATTATAATGTCAAAATGTACCTATAACAATCTCACAGAGGTACACAGATTATAATGTCAAAATGTACCTATAACAATCTCACAGAGGTACACAGATTATAATGTCAAAATGTACCTATAACAATCTCACAGAGGTACACAGATTATAATGTCAAAATGTACCTATAACAATCTCACAGAGGTACACAGATTATAATGTCAAAATGTACCTATAACAATCTCACAGAGGTACACAGATTATAATGTCAAAATGTACCTATAACAATCTCACAGAGGTACACAGATTATAATGTCAAAATGTACCTATAACAATCTCACAGAGGTACACAGATTATAATGTCAAAATGTACCTATAACAATCTCACAGAGGTACACAGATTATAATGTCAAAATGTACCTATAACAATCTCACAGAGGTACACAGATTATAATGTCAAAATGTACCTATAACAATCTCACAGAGGTACACAGATTATAATGTCAAAATGTACCTATAACAATCTCACAGAGGTACACAGATTATAATGTCAAAATGTACCTATAACAATCTCACAGAGGTACACAGATTATAATGTCAAAATGTACCTATAACAATCTCACAGAGGTACACAGATTATAATGTCAAAATGTACCTATAACAATCTCACAGAGGTACACAGATTATAATGTCAAAATGTACCTATAACAATCTCACAGAGGTACACAGATTATAATGTCAAAATGTACCTATAACAATCTCACAGAGGTACACAGATTATAATGTCNGCTGCTTTTCAGCTTTAGATACAAGGAAAGTGATGGTAGAATAAGTGGTTGTTTTGTACACGTTATCTTGTTGGTACACTATGAGTATGTAACTTCATGATTGATATCATCCTGTGACCAAAACTTACCAGAAAATACCTGAAAACAACAAAATTGTGATATGTAGCCCATTCAAAAGGCACACTGCATTGTCAAACACTATGTCATCAGAATTTGGCATCAAATACTATTTTCCACAATTTTGTGCATTTCCCTAATTTTGTCTCTAAAATTCAAAAAATGTAATATGTAGAAAATTTAAATGATTTTCGTACTTACTACTATATATATCAACATTTTTGTACTCGAGCTTTGCACTTGTGAAAAGTATTTGACAGTTTTTTTCCCAGACTATGCTATTCAAGTTTCAATGGGAAATTTTAAATAATCCTTTATATATTAAGGAAAACAAACGGTTTGTAATTGACAGGTTGAAGAAGAGGAGCATTTGATTGCCGAGCTGAAGAAGATAGAACTGAGAAAGAAGGAGAGAGAGAAGAAAACACAAGACTTACAGAAGTTGATCACAGCTGCAGACAGCAACATTGACAGTCGAAGGGCAGAGAAAAAACATAACAAGAAAAAAGTCCACCAGCAACAGAAACTCAAAGAGGGACTGGTGAATTATTTTTTTTTATTTCTTATTGCATTTTTAGCTAGCCTGGCCAATTCAAGCTGCCTAATGAGCTTATACCATGGCATGGGATCCATCATATATCTGTTGTCCAGCATCCAGCGTCAACTTTTTAGCCACCAATCATCAAATCACCCTTCGTCAATGATCTATGGTCCGTCTGTCTGTCCATTCATACATCCTTAAACAATTCTTGTTGGTGCTCTTTCTCAGAAATTACTAGAGGGATCTTTCTCAAATTTCTTATGGATTAAAGGTGGTACCATTGTCTCTAGTTATGCATATCAAATTTTGGGACTAATTAAAAAAAACCTGAGATGGCCGAAAGGCAGCCGTCTTGAGTTTTGAGAGTTAAAGTTTGTAAGTGCTATTGCACAGATAATGATCTTTCTCCAATTTCACATGAAGGTTCCCAATGGTCCCTATTAATACATACCAAACTGAGGGGACAACTAAGATGGCTGACAGGCAACCATCTTGAATTTTAAGAGTAAAAGATTGTTAGTGCTATTTCTCAGAAAGTAGAGGAGGGATCTTTCTCCAATTTTATAAGAAGATACAAGATTGATTAATCTATAGGCGTCGTGCTTGCATGAAAAGCCAAACACAAACAACCACCACTGTTTTCTTGTTGAGTTATTCATCTGCCAAATATACAACAAAATGTTCAAAGTTGTTGTTTTATAAATTCATGAAGAACTGATTGTGAAATACCTGTATGTTTCTAATTTAAATAAGCTTTTTGACGTTAATAATTGCTTTTGATTTGAAGCAATATCATGTACTTTTGAAAATATATCATACTGACATCTAATATGAATTTTTGAAACATGAGTATCACTTAAATGTAATTTTGTGAGACTGCTATGGTTCAGGTTTAAATACAAAGTAAGCATTTTCATCTGTGGTGTATTTTATGGTTATGTAGATCTTATTTTCAACCTCTTTATTTAGCCAACTGTGGAACCATCTGGTATCAAGTTTGCCGATTTCAAGGCATCAGGCGTGTCACTTAGAAGTCAGAGAGTGAGTATAAATATTTTATGAGTGTATCTTCTTGACAGATATTGTTTTGTTAAAACAGTAAACCACACATGTTGTAATGACGTATATGTCTTGTGACTTAGATAGCCCTAAATATGTATACATAACAGTGTAGTATGCTATAAATATATATACATAACAGTGTAGTCAGCTATAAATATATATACATAAAAGTGTAGTCAGCTATATATATATATACATAACAGTAGTCAGCTATAAATATATATACATAACAGTGTATTCTGCTATAAATATATATACATAACAGTGTATTCTGCTATAAATATATATACATAACAGTGTAGTCAGCTATAAATATATATACATAACAGTGTAGTCAGCTATAAATATATATACATAACAGTGTAGTCAGCTATAAATATATATACATAACAGTGTAGTCAGCTATAAATATATATACATAACAGTGTAGTCAGCTATAAATATATATACATAACAGTGTAGTCAGCTATAAATATATATACATAACAGTGTAGTCAGCTATAAATATATATACATAACAGTGTAGTCAGCTATAAATATATATACATAACAGTGTAGTCAGCTATAAATATATATACATAACAGTGTAGTCAGCTATAAATATATATACATAACAGTGTAGTCAGCTATAAATATATATACATAACAGTGTAGTCAGCTATAAATATATATACATAACAGTGTAGTCAGCTATAAATATATATACATAACAGTGTAGTCAGCTATAAATATATATACATAACAGTGTAGTCAGCTATAAATATATATACATAACAGTGTAGTCAGCTATAAATATATATACATAACAGTGTAGTCAGCTATAAATATATATACATAACAGTGTAGTCAGCTATAAATATATATACATAACAGTGTAGTCAGCTATAAATATATATACATAACAGTGTAGTCAGCTATAAATATATATACATAACAGTGTAGTCAGCTATAAATATATATACATAACAGTGTAGTCAGCTATAAATATATATACATAACAGTGTAGTCAGCTATAAATATATATACATAACAGTGTAGTCAGCTATAAATATATATACATAACAGTGTAGTCAGCTATAAATATATATACATAACAGTGTAGTCAGCTATAAATATATATACATAACAGTGTAGTCAGCTATAAATATATATACATAACAGTGTAGTCAGCTATAAATATATATACATAACAGTGTAGTCAGCTATAAATATATATACATAACAGTGTAGTCAGCTATAAATATATATACATAACAGTGTAGTCAGCTATAAATATATATACATAACAGTGTAGTCAGCTATAAATATATATACATAACAGTGTAGTCAGCTATAAATATATATACATAACAGTGTAGTCAGCTATAAATATATATACATAACAGTGTAGTCAGCTATAAATATATATACATAACAGTGTAGTCAGCTATAAATATATATACATAACAGTGTAGTCAGCTATAAATATATATACATAACAGTGTAGTCAGCTATAAATATATATACATAACAGTGTAGTCAGCTATAAATATATATACATAACAGTGTAGTCAGCTATAAATATATATACATAACAGTGTAGTCAGCTATAAATATATATACATAACAGTGTAGTCAGCTATAAATATATATACATAACAGTGTAGTCAGCTATAAATATATATACATAACAGTGTAGTCAGCTATAAATATATATACATAACAGTGTAGTCAGCTATAAATATATATACATAACAGTGTAGTCAGCTATAAATATATATACATAACAGTGTAGTCAGCTATAAATATATATACATAACAGTGTAGTCAGCTATAAATATATATACATAACAGTGTAGTCAGCTATAAATATATATACATAACAGTGTAGTCAGCTATAAATATATATACATAACAGTGTAGTCAGCTATAAATATATATACATAACAGTGTAGTCAGCTATAAATATATATACATAACAGTGTAGTCAGCTATAAATATATATACATAACAGTGTAGTCAGCTATAAATATATATACATAACAGTGTAGTCAGCTATAAATATATATACATAACAGTGTAGTCAGCTATAAATATATATACATAACAGTGTAGTCAGCTATAAATATATATACATAACAGTGTAGTCAGCTATAAATATATATACATAACAGTGTAGTCAGCTATAAATATATATACATAACAGTGTAGTCAGCTATAAATATATATACATAACAGTGTAGTCAGCTATAAATATATATACATAACAGTGTAGTCAGCTATAAATATATATACATAACAGTGTAGTCAGCTATAAATATATATACATAACAGTGTAGTCAGCTATAAATATATATACATAACAGTGTAGTCAGCTATAAATATATATACATAACAGTGTAGTCAGCTATAAATATATATACATAACAGTGTAGTCAGCTATAAATATATATACATAACAGTGTAGTCAGCTATAAATATATATACATAACAGTGTAGTCAGCTATAAATATATATACATAACAGTGTAGTCAGCTATAAATATATATACATAACAGTGTAGTCAGCTATAAATATATATACATAACAGTGTAGTCAGCTATAAATATATATACATAACAGTGTAGTCAGCTATAAATATATATACATAACAGTGTAGTCAGCTATAAATATATATACATAACAGTGTAGTCAGCTATAAATATATATACATAACAGTGTAGTCAGCTATAAATATATATACATAACAGTGTAGTCAGCTATAAATATATATACATAACAGTGTAGTCAGCTATAAATATATATACATAACAGTGTAGTCAGCTATAAATATATATACATAACAGTGTAGTCAGCTATAAATATATATACATAACAGTGTAGTCAGCTATAAATATATATACATAACAGTGTAGTCAGCTATAAATATATATACATAACAGTGTAGTCAGCTATAAATATATATACATAACAGTGTAGTCAGCTATAAATATATATACATAACAGTGTAGTCAGCTATAAATATATATACATAACAGTGTAGTCAGCTATAAATATATATACATAACAGTGTAGTCAGCTATAAATATATATACATAACAGTGTAGTCAGCTATAAATATATATACATAACAGTGTAGTCAGCTATAAATATATATACATAACAGTGTAGTCAGCTATAAATATATATACATAACAGTGTAGTCAGCTATAAATATATATACATAACAGTGTAGTCAGCTATAAATATATATACATAACAGTGTAGTCAGCTATAAATATATATACATAACAGTGTAGTCAGCTATAAATATATATACATAACAGTGTAGTCAGCTATAAATATATATACATAACAGTGTAGTCAGCTATAAATATATATACATAACAGTGTAGTCAGCTATAAATATATATACATAACAGTGTAGTCAGCTATAAATATATATACATAACAGTGTAGTCAGCTATAAATATATATACATAACAGTGTAGTCAGCTATAAATATATATACATAACAGTGTAGTCAGCTATAAATATATATACATAACAGTGTAGTCAGCTATAAATATATATACATAACAGTGTAGTCAGCTATAAATATATATACATAACAGTGTAGTCAGCTATAAATATATATACATAACAGTGTAGTCAGCTATAAATATATATACATAACAGTGTAGTCAGCTATAAATATATATACATAACAGTGTAGTCAGCTATAAATATATATACATAACAGTGTAGTCAGCTATAAATATATATACATAACAGTGTAGTCAGCTATAAATATATATACATAACAGTGTAGTCAGCTATAAATATATATACATAACAGTGTAGTCAGCTATAAATATATATACATAACAGTGTAGTCAGCTATAAATATATATACATAACAGTGTAGTCAGCTATAAATATATATACATAACAGTGTAGTCAGCTATAAATATATATACATAACAGTGTAGTCAGCTATAAATATATATACATAACAGTGTAGTCAGCTATAAATATATATACATAACAGTGTAGTCAGCTATAAATATATATACATAACAGTGTAGTCAGCTATAAATATATATACATAACAGTGTAGTCAGCTATAAATATATATACATAACAGTGTAGTCAGCTATAAATATATATACATAACAGTGTAGTCAGCTATAAATATATATACATAACAGTGTAGTCAGCTATAAATATATATACATAACAGTGTAGTCAGCTATAAATATATATACATAACAGTGTAGTCAGCTATAAATATATATACATAACAGTGTAGTCAGCTATAAATATATATACATAACAGTGTAGTCAGCTATAAATATATATACATAACAGTGTAGTCAGCTATAAATATATATACATAACAGTGTAGTCAGCTATAAATATATATACATAACAGTGTAGTCAGCTATAAATATATATACATAACAGTGTAGTCAGCTATAAATATATATACATAACAGTGTAGTCAGCTATAAATATATATACATAACAGTGTAGTCAGCTATAAATATATATACATAACAGTGTAGTCAGCTATAAATATATATACATAACAGTGTAGTCAGCTATAAATATATATACATAACAGTGTAGTCAGCTATAAATATATATACATAACAGTGTAGTCAGCTATAAATATATATACATAACAGTGTAGTCAGCTATAAATATATATACATAACAGTGTAGTCAGCTATAAATATATATACATAACAGTGTAGTCAGCTATAAATATATATACATAACAGTGTAGTCAGCTATAAATATATATACATAACAGTGTAGTCAGCTATAAATATATATACATAACAGTGTAGTCAGCTATAAATATATATACATAACAGTGTAGTCAGCTATAAATATATATACATAACAGTGTAGTCAGCTATAAATATATATACATAACAGTGTAGTCAGCTATAAATATATATACATAACAGTGTAGTCAGCTATAAATATATATACATAACAGTGTAGTCAGCTATAAATATATATACATAACAGTGTAGTCAGCTATAAATATATATACATAACAGTGTAGTCAGCTATAAATATATATACATAACAGTGTAGTCAGCTATAAATATATATACATAACAGTGTAGTCAGCTATAAATATATATACATAACAGTGTAGTCAGCTATAAATATATATACATAACAGTGTAGTCAGCTATAAATATATATACATAACAGTGTAGTCAGCTATAAATATATATACATAACAGTGTAGTCAGCTATAAATATATATACATAACAGTGTAGTCAGCTATAAATATATATACATAACAGTGTAGTCAGCTATAAATATATATACATAACAGTGTAGTCAGCTATAAATATATATACATAACAGTGTAGTCAGCTATAAATATATATACATAACAGTGTAGTCAGCTATAAATATATATACATAACAGTGTAGTCAGCTATAAATATATATACATAACAGTGTAGTCAGCTATAAATATATATACATAACAGTGTAGTCAGCTATAAATATATATACATAACAGTGTAGTCAGCTATAAATATATATACATAACAGTGTAGTCAGCTATAAATATATATACATAACAGTGTAGTCAGCTATAAATATATATACATAACAGTGTAGTCAGCTATAAATATATATACATAACAGTGTAGTCAGCTATAAATATATATACATAACAGTGTAGTCAGCTATAAATATATATACATAACAGTGTAGTCAGCTATAAATATATATACATAACAGTGTAGTCAGCTATAAATATATATACATAACAGTGTAGTCAGCTATAAATATATATACATAACAGTGTAGTCAGCTATAAATATATATACATAACAGTGTAGTCAGCTATAAATATATATACATAACAGTGTAGTCAGCTATAAATATATATACATAACAGTGTAGTCAGCTATAAATATATATACATAACAGTGTAGTCAGCTATAAATATATATACATAACAGTGTAGTCAGCTATAAATATATATACATAACAGTGTAGTCAGCTATAAATATATATACATAACAGTGTAGTCAGCTATAAATATATATACATAACAGTGTAGTCAGCTATAAATATATATACATAACAGTGTAGTCAGCTATAAATATATATACATAACAGTGTAGTCAGCTATAAATATATATACATAACAGTGTAGTCAGCTATAAATATATATACATAACAGTGTAGTCAGCTATAAATATATATACATAACAGTGTAGTCAGCTATAAATATATATACATAACAGTGTAGTCAGCTATAAATATATATACATAACAGTGTAGTCAGCTATAAATATATATACATAACAGTGTAGTCAGCTATAAATATATATACATAACAGTGTAGTCAGCTATAAATATATATACATAACAGTGTAGTCAGCTATAAATATATATACATAACAGTGTAGTCAGCTATAAATATATATACATAACAGTGTAGTCAGCTATAAATATATATACATAACAGTGTAGTCAGCTATAAATATATATACATAACAGTGTAGTCAGCTATAAATATATATACATAACAGTGTAGTCAGCTATAAATATATATACATAACAGTGTAGTCAGCTATAAATATATATACATAACAGTGTAGTCAGCTATAAATATATATACATAACAGTGTAGTCAGCTATAAATATATATACATAACAGTGTAGTCAGCTATAAATATATATACATAACAGTGTAGTCAGCTATAAATATATATACATAACAGTGTAGTCAGCTATAAATATATATACATAACAGTGTAGTCAGCTATAAATATATATACATAACAGTGTAGTCAGCTATAAATATATATACATAACAGTGTAGTCAGCTATAAATATATATACATAACAGTGTAGTCAGCTATAAATATATATACATAACAGTGTAGTCAGCTATAAATATATATACATAACAGTGTAGTCAGCTATAAATATATATACATAACAGTGTAGTCAGCTATAAATATATATACATAACAGTGTAGTCAGCTATAAATATATATACATAACAGTGTAGTCAGCTATAAATATATATACATAACAGTGTAGTCAGCTATAAATATATATACATAACAGTGTAGTCAGCTATAAATATATATACATAACAGTGTAGTCAGCTATAAATATATATACATAACAGTGTAGTCAGCTATAGATATATATACATAACAGTAGTCAGCTATAAATATATATACATAACAGTGTAGTCAGCTATAGATATATATACATAACAGTGTAGTCAGCTATAAATATATATACATAACAGTGTAGTCAGCTATATATATATATACATAACATTGTAGTCAGCTATAAATATATATACATAACAGTGTAGTCTGCTATAAATATATATACATAACAGTGTATCCCAGACAGTGTTCAAAAGGACTTAAATCAGGTACTGTACACATGTCAGTCCTCTAAAAGGAAACATAATGTAATCATAGTTACAGAATGTCTGTATATTTAAAAGATATGATATTTGAGGCACTGATTTACATTGATTAAGTAATAACTGATGAGCATAATATACACTCTATATTTCCAGATGAAACTGCCTGCCTCAATAGGTCAGAAGAAGACAAAGGCTATTGAGCAAGTTTTAGAGGAATTAGGAATAGGTAAGTACCCAACAGGAAATGTAAAGACCTATTTTCTTCAAAGTTTGAGAAGAACAGTTACCTTGACTTACTTACAAGGTCACAGGGGAAGAACCAAACAGCATAGAATCAAATAATAATATTTGGCTGGTAGTTCAATGGAGATGGAGCAGACAAAGTTTGCAAGTGAAATATTTATAGTACAGTATAATATTTAATGAGAATATTTTGCAATGACTGCTTAAATATTCAGGTGAGCGATACAGGCCCTCTGGGCCTCTCGTATTGATTTGTGTCCTAATATCCATGTAATGCATCCTTATCTTAACATAACACATGCTACAAGCTATAATGTTAAGGGACATGCTTTTCATTTATTTCTTAACCTCAAAATAAATTTTGGGCGGGGGATTGGATGCATGGAGGAATCTAGTGTTGTTCCATCTGCTTAATGATATCGCATGTTGTTAGTCCCTCATCTACACGGCTTTAGCTACATGTTCAGATTGTATAAATGAAGGGTACGCCTTCCAAAGGATAAATGGGCGTGACCTGAAAGGTATGGAGATAAAAGTGTCAAAGACTATTCCTAAAGAATTAGTGAAGAGATTTTAGCCTGATGTGGAATAAAGCATCTCTGAATTAAGGGAACTCATTGTGTATTCTTGAAGAGTGTCCCCCTCCCATACCCCTGAGGACAGAGGTACATGGCAATATAATGACCAAGTGTACGTATTTTTCAGGCTGCTTCTTTAACAAAGATAGTCTCCTTAACTTGGTTTCTAAAAGACCGAGACGATTTTGACTTCTCTAGAATTTTCTCAAACTGATTTTGTCAAAACATGTCATCCTTTTATAGCCTGGCTAAGTCTAAGTAATATTTCAAGTATTTCAATGTGTAAGATGTTGAGCCTGGCCTCTGATTGGCCGAGAAATCTTAAGTTCCACACAACCAAAAATGGTGCACTGTTGATATTGTAATTGTTTGGCTTGATAAGAATGTAGACATGATATCAAGTTATTAGAAACATTTACGACTTTTCTATTTTAGATAAATTAAAATATAATACAGGCCTCATGGGTCTCTTTTTTTTATATATATTTAAGTCTATTCCTGTATTGTTTATCTTTGGATATATAAACAGTTACTAAAATGTGTTTTTTTATCAAACTTTGGTTCGTCTTACCTGGAGATTTAATTTCCTGTCCCTATTTTTACTACCATTCAGAGTACAACCCTATGCCGACTGAAGACATTGTGACACATTTCAATGAACTGCGACAGGATATTGTTCTATTGTATGAGCTCAAGTTGGCCCTAGCTACCTGTGATTATGAGGTGGAATCTTTGCGGCACAGATTTGAAACTCTAGCACCAGGCAAGGTAAACCTCCTTTATTTTATTACATTATTTAATAATAAACATGTTTGTATTCGACCATGATTTTTTTTTCTTTGTTTTGTAAACAAAAGCACTGTCTAAATCTGAGTATATAGGCTGTCACTTACAGGAAATGCATTCTTGTTAAAATAGCAGTAATAAAAGGACATTTAGTCAAAATTAGACGTTTTATAACCAATTACCATAGGATCAGACATGATGTAGTTGTGCAAACAAAAATTGTAATAAGGTGATATTGCTATACTTAATACTGAGAAAGATTGATTCTGTAAGTAACCTGATTTTTAGACTGTAGAACCAGACCTGATCAAGCCGGACACAAGTACAGCCAATCTGGAAATATCTTCAACTTTTTTTAACCCTGTTCTCCTCACACCCGACTCGCCCTCCAGACAGAAAAAGTTGGCTGAGGCCATTGATGTTGTTGGAACACCAGGAACACCAAATGTAGGTGTTATTGACGTAACTACAATATATTTATTTCATCTGATTAGCAACCTAGTCAACATATGTTATCAGAATCGTGTAAATCTAACTTCAGTTGAGCCCAACAAAATGTTGTAAGGTTTTGTATTAGGCCCTTAATAGCTCTTCTTAGGAACCAGTAAACTGATTGACTTCAAACTTGGTTCAAATGTCCCTTATAATGTCCCAACCAAGTTTTCTTACTTATTTGCCATTTTTGAAATTCAAGATGGCCACCCTGGCCTCTGAATTGCCAAGACATTTTCAACCTTCTACTCAGAAACGGGTGCACTGATTGACTCCAAGCTTGGTGCAAATGTACATTTTATCTGGAAATCCAAAATGGTTGTCCTAGCCACTGATTTGCTGAGATAACTACAACCTATTTGCAATAATGGTTGAATTATTTGGCAAATGTTCTTAATGAGGTCCCCAACAAGTATTGATACTTTTTCTGGCAATTGAAAAATAAAAATGGTCGCCTTAGCATCTGATTGTTTGAAACATTTTCAATGTCTTCTCTAGAACGTTTTTTCAGAGGTCCCCATCAAGTGTTACTTTTTAAAATATAATCCAGATACACTGGTAAAGTTATTGTCCGTATTATCCAATCTCAATTTGAAAACTACTGGTAACTGCTGTTAATTGATTTCTTAAATGCATTTGTTCACAGCGGAAGAGAAAGGCTGCGATTGAGCAGAGTAATATCCTGAAGAAGATTAAACACTAAGTGTGGATGAGGCAGGTGATATTACACCAAATTCTACAATTTCTGCTCATGAGTCTTGCTTGTCTGCATTTGCTCATATTACTGGAGTTGTTTTCCCTGACATCCACCAGGACCTGTGTCATGTTCAATAAAAGAGTAGGAGGAAGACAAGTCGTTTATTCCCTGTGGAACTCCAGTACAGACATCTTGTTGATAGTGAGAACACTAACCTCTTATTTTGATATTAAAAACATGAAGAGGTGATTGTCCTACAGTGAATTCCTTTACCAGCTGATAATACGTGTACAAACTATATGTATACTTTGTACAGAACAACTTAACAAGCGTTATAGAGGTAGAGCTGCTTGTCTGATGAACTTCAAAGGAAGGCTTGTGACAAGGACTGTCTTAGTGTGTACAATTTTAAGTTCTGCTGGACTCCTCAAAATTTGTGTGATCATTCATCAGATCAATAGCAAGGCCTTTTAGACCTCTACGTACCAGTTGAGTAGGCCTTTTAGACCACTATGTACCGATTGAGTAGGCCTTTTAGACCACTACATACCAATTGAGTAGCCAGGGGCCAATTCATGGTATCCCCTTGGTAGGCCTTTTAGACTACTATGTACCGATTGAGTAGGCCTTTTAGACAACTACGTACCGATTGAGTAGGCCTTTTAGACCACTACATACCAATTGAGTAGGCCTTTTAGACCTCTAGGTACTGATTGAGTAGGCCTTTTAGACAACTACATACCAATTGAGTAGGCCTTTTAGACCACTACGTACCAATTGAGTAGGCCTTTCAGACCACTACGTACCAATTGAGTAGGCCTTTTAGACCACTACGTACCGATTGAGTAGGCCTTTTAGACCACTATGTACCAATTGAGTAGGCCTTTCAGACCACTACGTACC